TAAGGCCAGAACATGTCAATGCAGCGAGTAGCTAGCGAGCTAGTGGGGATCTAGGTACTGAGTAGGTTTGGGGCACCTGCCTAAGCACCCATTACTCACATATCATAAGGGCTTAGGGGCGCCCACCTATTTTGGCAGGCTAAATACCCTAGCCTAACAAGCTGCCTCGTGGGTAAAGAGAAGCAAGATAGGCTTCGAGGAGCAAGTCTCTAAGAGATACTTGTAGATCAGCCAGTTTGGGTGCGGGTCTCGAGGTACCTACCTAACTACCCTCCACCACCAAACTACAAGTCAATGTCACTGTCTAACAATGTTGGTGATTGTCCCGTCCTCGTTAACTCGTAGGTACCTGGGCGGTGTTGTCCTCACCAAGGACAAGTCCACGGTGCGCATGCACCGCACCACATGCAATTGCACGCTCACCTGCGTCAAAGCTGACCCAGCCTCGCGAGGCTGCAGCTGGAAACACCCCCTCCAGGCTGCCAGGCCACACTCTGTGGATCAACCATATCTTCATACTACACGTTAATGAGCTTTGCTCCAGCTACAGCTTCCAACACTCGGCAAGCTCATCATGATGCCCGAGACATAAGTATTGCATCGATGAAGGTCCACAAGAGCTGATTGGGACGGCGGTGGCCGTCTGCGACTTCCGCACTGGGACTGGAACCCGAGACAACAATCACATCCCGTCGTCACTTGGCTCATTCGTCTTCACTCAACGTGGCCAACCTCCCTTCCCATCCTGCTATTTATTTGAAGTTGAGAATGCCATCATCTGCCAGCCAGAGCCAACGACCAGATTCAATTCCATCGGTCCTTCGATATTCCTGCCATCGATCCGTCCCTCTGTCGCTCCGCCAATCCGTCTCTGCGCATCTTTCGGACTCATAATTCCATCAGGCAACCGCGCTAGGTTCGAAGGCAGCCACAACCAGGTGTCTACGCCTCAGTGGCAACCTCGTTCAACCCAACATCATACATAAGGCTGTGCTTAACACTTGTCGTCTTTTCTTTGCTTTTCATTCATGAGATACCTTTTTCAATCTATGTTCGATGCGCTGCCTCCTGATATCCATCTTAATGTTCATCTAGCCCTCCGTGCGCCATGACTTCTCCCTCGGCAACCCAGGTGGGTGTGAAGCAGATCCCCGATCTACCCAATGAAATCTTCCTGCTCATCATTCAACAATGCCCTCGAGCTACCTTGAAGCATCTGCGATTGGTTTCTAAGAATCTGGCTCATATGGTTGAACCTCATCTCTGGCGCAAAGTGGTTCTGGTTCCTAACGACCATTGTATCCTTGGCCTGTACAAAGCATTGAAACGCTCAAAGATCACTCGTCACATCACAAGTCTGACGTATGATGGCCGCTTTGGTGCATTCTTCCACTGCATCAAGGCAACTCCACCAGATCCAGCTCTCCCATTCCCACAAGATGAACAGGTGAAAGAGATGGCCTTGCTCGATCGTACCTGCTCCGGACATTTCAAACCCTATGAAGAGGCCGCCATCGAGGTTGCCATCTTGTCTCGAGTATTACGGATCCTGCCAAATCTGCAGGCAGTCCGCGTCAAGGATCACGAAGATGGCGCCACTATCCCAGCTACCAAAGTTCCCTCCTTTTATCTCAAGATTTGCAAACGCCTCAGGATCGACCCAGAGTCGGTCAACTGGAGTTCTATGTCGGCCAATTCCAGCAGGTCTTACACAAAAGGCTTTCTGACGGCCGCTTTCTCAGCCGGCTGCCACCTTCAATCCTTCAAGGCAAAAAGCATAGACGGCCGCAACATGTTCGGCGTAGTGCCCATCAAGGCCCCTGCAGCATTCCAACAACTTCGTATCTGCCGAACCATCACGGAGAACCTCCGCGCCCTGGAGCTCTCGTTCCGTAACGACACTCTGATTAGTACCGCCAATCATATTGAAGCAGTCCGCTCCCTCTTAGAAGGCGCACCGAGAATCAAGACGCTGAGGCTGCGACTGACGGATTGCAGTGCCAGTCGTTATCAATACGCAGAGGATGATTTGATGTCCGATTTTTGTGGACTCCTGGAAACTTCTGCTGGAACGTGGACGTCTGCGCCTCTCATCCCCAGACTGGAAACGTTGATCATCGACGCCTGTATCTGTCACGACGAGGACCTGATGCACTTCCTGAAGATCCACGCCGCCACCCTTAGACGATTAGAATTGTCAAACATAACCCTCCTCGGCGGCGAAGATCGTCGGGAATGCTGGGTCCGACTGATCAAACACCTGAAGACGGATCTGAAACTCACTTCGGTGTCTTTCAGCGGATGGCTGAGTAATGGGGGCCGGCAACAATGGTTCGTTGCAAAAGATACTGTAGGCACAGACAGATTGAAGGCTAAAGTGGAAGCCTATGTCGTTGACCGACGTATTCGAGAATGCCCCCTGGAATCGATCGCCATCCAGCCAAATCAAGGTGATGTTGAGCAACCGGAAGATGGGGAAGAGTTCGAAGGCGACCTAACCTGGACCATGGTCTACTCCCTTCACACAGGGGAACAAATGGACTGGCAGTTGACCCAACCATCATTCGGCGTTCATTCAAATGAGGTATCTCAACCACCATCCGAGGCTGGGGATGTCAATTCACTGGACCAGACACTTTCTGATGGCTGGACATGGCATGCAGTTGATCACTTGGACGATTCGGAACAGGACGAGCCTTTGGACGACGAGCCTCCTCTTCCCGTCGGGACCATCGAAGGACCTGGTATATTTAGTGGAGGGGCCATCAATTATCAGCCTCCGCCGCACGAAACAGTGAAACTTTTGAAATTCAACCCACCTAGCACAACGGAATGGATACCTCTCGCAACTACTGGCAACCTCTTTTCAAATACTGCCTCCAATTGCTGATGGGACCACCAAAGGTCGGTCCATCACTGCAATGGCTATGCAACTTCTACTGAATGGCATATTCTTGGTGGTAGTTTCTTCACTTCTTGTTGATACGCTACCAGAAATGATGAGTTAGCGTGGGTTTTCCGTGTTTTGCAACTGTTGTCCAGGGCAAGCTTGGGGTGTAGGGGCGCGTCCACGTTCTCAGGGTGCATTTTGTACCTTTTGGCGGCGTGACATCTCCTGCTCGTGTGTGTGGCGGAGTCAACTTTGTGGGTGGCAAGGCTTTGTGTTGGAATAACGAGCATCACGACATGACGATTTAAATGCATCAAACGATGCAAAAAGGAAACGGAAATCGACCCAGGTCTTGCTGTATCAGCCAGTAAGAACGGCGCAGGCATCAAAATCTTAGCTGTTTAATTGTGCTGCACATTCCCAAGGAAAGGCCTGGTAGCTACGTACAGTAATTACATACATAGGAAGTATACCTGAGTCGTCCACCTTGGCGATTCATGGCCAGAGACGTTATATTCTTGACGCGATTCATCCCATCAAATTTAATAATAAAGGTAGAACAAGGAGCAAAAGAGCACGAGGACAATACTTATAATGAGGTAGGTGCCGATCGTATAAGTGCGGTGATGTACGTAAATAAGTCACTACTCGCTGGGTTATAGGAATGGTGGGTGTGATTTGCCCAGTTGCTCTTGAATTTAGCACGTCTCTTCTTCTTCTGCTCGTCTGTGTGCTTTCAGTCGAGCAAGTTCTTATATGTACAACGCAGTTTAGCCTGGCCAGTGCCCCCAGCGACTCCCCGCTGTCTCCAGGATTGGGTTGTTTTGCGCATCGGAAAGTCCAATGGGCACTACCCTTTCCACAAGCCAGTGGTCTGACATCCACTCTTTCTACCGACGCTCACAGCTCCCCGTCTGTCCTCAGGACGTCTTTAATGTGATATGGCTCGCCCAACAACGTCGTCTTCCCCGCCCGCGGCTCGCAGGTGATTCTCTGTTTTCCCTCGTAGACTTGCGGCCCCGGCCTCGGGACCTTGGACACATCATATCCACTGATGGTGGCTGAGTCCTTCAATGCCTGCAACAGCTGTACGGTCGTCTCCGGTGTGAGATCCTCGTAGTAGTCATCGTTGATCTGGACCATGGGTGCGTTGACACAGGCGCCTAAACATTCCACCTCGAGCAGCGAGAAGAGTTTGTCTTCGGTCATCTGGCCCGAGTGGATGCCCAGAAATTCTTCGCACGCTTTCATGATCACGTCGCTCCCGCATCCTCCCAGCATGCACGGCGTGGTGGTGCACACCTGGACAAAATATTTCCCCACGGGGTTGCGGTTGTACATGGTATAAAAGGTCGCCACTTCGTAGACACGCATGGGCGGCATCTCGAGGATGCGGGCGACTTCGTTCATGACGCTGATCGAGGTGTAGCCGTGTTGGCGCTGGCCCAGGTCCAGAAGAGGCATCACGGCGGCTTTCTTGTACTGTGGTGGGTAGCGCTTGGTGATCTCATCGATGAGCCGGAGATTCGTCTCATTGAACTTGAAGGGGATGGAAGGGTTGTTTTCGGGAGTGTTGCGATGCTGGCATTCTCTGTTAGTTGATGCAAAATAGACCTCGTTTCGGTGTAAATGTGTGCTAACTGACCACTGAGAGCGACTCACTTCGCGACGAAGGTGAGGTCGAGAATTGTCTGGGATGGAACAGCTGTCTTTGAGGAGCTCTGGTAGCTGTCCTGGTCGCCTGGCGGACCAGCTGTGGCACAAGCTTCGACGCCATGTTGGGGCGACTTGTGACTTGAATCAATTCTGGTTCAGGTACGAGAGTACCTTTTGGTAAAATGGACTGCGCCGTCGAGAACACAGGACGTAGAGGCAGAGCTTCCACCAATGGCAGGGAAGTCAATGTCATTTGCCGTTGTGGAGGATTATGGCCCTCCGTAGAGGATATTTGCTTTTTGCACATATATTTCACCGTAATGATCATCGTCGTCATTTCTGTCATTTCTGTCATTCGAAATTCCGCATGCGCGGCGTCCCCCTTCTCCACGCTGGCCTGATTGACATTGGGTTGCCGACGACGATGCGGTCTTGAACATCACCCCCTTCAGGCATGAGAATGAGGCTCTCATCCGTGGTCGGCGCCGTCCTCGCGCTGTGCAACGGAGTGCTCGGGGCAGAGTCGAATCTCACAGAACATCGAACCACGCAAAAGATATTAACGGGCGACTTCAAACCTCCCCAAGTATTCGAGAACACCAACCTCGTTCGGACTATCAACCTCGAGAAAGGCTACGTGAGAGAGACCACCAATGTGCTGGTCACAAACACGGACAGCTCACCACAGTCGGAGTACTATATCCCCTTCGGATATGACCTGATTGGCAAGATTGGCGGCTTTGACGCCCGGGACAAGAAGAAGCCAGAATTTCCCTTGGAGGTCACCATTGCGGCGTTGTCTGCTGTCTCGGACGACCAGGGCGAAGCTTCAAAGTACGCAGAACCTGGACGGGCTCGCACCGAAATGCTTGCTGACTTTCCCAGACCTACTCAATACTATGTCATCCATCTCTCGGAACCGCTGCCGCCTAAAAGCACCGTCACTCTCTCAATATCCTGGAATGTGCTGGGAGTCCTTACGCCTTTGCCCGCCTCTATCAGACAGGAAGAGAAGCAGTACCTTACCTACAATTTCTCCGCCTACGTTCCCACCGTCTACAAGACAGTCAAACAGAAAACAAAAGTGAAGTTCCCATCGGCGGATGTGCCTGAATATACAACCACGACCGGCTTGACATCGGCCACCGATCCAGAAAAGCAAGGGACGTCATTTACATATGGTCCCTACGACACTGCCAAGGTCGAACCAGGCACGACCTATCCAGTGTCTGTGCGGTACGAGTTCAACAAGCCACTCCTCGTCTGCAGCCTCCTCGAGCGAGATGTTGAAGTCTCCCATTGGGGAGGTAATTTGGCTACTGAAGAAAGATACTGGCTTCGCCACGACGGTGCGAAACTTTCCAACCAATTCTCTCGTCTCGCGTGGAGTACGCAAAACTTCTACATCAGCGCAGGTCAGGGGTCTACCTCTGCCTTGCGGGAATTGAAGGTCCCTCTGAAACCAGGCACCGTCGACCCGTATTTCACCGACGACATCGGGAATGTCTCCACGTCGCGCTTCAGACCCAACAACGTCCGTGAAGCCAGCTTGGAGCTCAAGCCTCGCTACCCCTTGTTCGGCGGATGGAAGTATAGCTTCCGCATTGGCTGGAACAATGCTCTGTCCTCTAGCCTCCGCAAGCTCCAGACTCAGTCCGACACGTATATTTTATCCGTTCCCCTGCTGGAAGGTCCCAAGATGCCAGAAGGCATTCAGTACGAGCAGCTTGTCTTCCGGGTCATTCTGCCCGAAGGAGCCAAGAATGTCAAATGGCAGACACATGGTGGAACAGGTGTGCCACCTCTGCATGCCGAATATGATTTCCACAAGACGTTCATGGACACCTTGGGCCGAACGGAGCTGAAATTGACGGCTTACAACGTCGTCGATGAAGCAAGAGATGTTACCATTCTGGTGACCTACGAGTACCCGTTCCTGGCCGCCTTCCGAAAACCTGTGACTATCTTCACCGGATTGGCTGTGGTGTTTGTGCTCGCTTACTTGGTGGGCAGCGTGGACACGAGTATTGGGAAGAAGAAGAGATGATTCTACATACCTGCGCTCTTTGGCCAGGAGTTGTAAAAGTGAAGAGGGCTCCGACACTAGCTTTTGACGTATGTATTACCTCTCTCTCTTTGGTCTCTTTGTAGATTATCCAATAAAAATGGGATCTCGTTTCCTGTTCCTGGGAAGTGGATAGAAAAACTTTAGGTTTGAATTATTCCAAAGTCTTTGGGAAATTTCATTTCATCTGCATGATTCATGAACTCTGATGAACGTTCACTTCGCTTCGTTGGAGCCGTTCACTTCGCTTCGTTGGAGCAAGAATGCATGTCCTGTCCTGTCCTGTCCTGTCCTGTCCTGTCCCGTGCTGATTTAACCCTACGTGATCCAAGCTGTGGCTCCGGGATTTCAGGACTTTCGTGTCGTGTTGTGTCGTTCGTTATATGTGCCCTCTCCATCCAGATTCCAGAATAGACCAAGCTACCTCCTTGATCTGGAACAAGAAAGCGCCGTGTCGTGCAGTGCGGTATCAACTATCTTGTAAAGAGAAGAGTACATCTCCAACCCCCCCAAAATACAAGCTCCACTTCCATGGCCAAAGATGACTCCCGTTTTCGCTTCGAAGTAAACAGAATCCAAACCACAACGCAACAACCAAACGCGAAAAAAGAAAGACGAATAGAGGGAGTAAGGAGAAAGGTCTCAACCTATGGATCGTCTCAGCTCGACTCGACTCAATCTGACCGCAAAAAGGAGAAGAGCCGTCTCTTGGTCTCGGGTAGAAATCTCACCCCGTGCATCTCTCCTCTGGCGGACGATACCCGATGCCCAGCCCGTCCATCAGCCTCCGTTCGCGATCGGCCCAGGTGTCCTGGTCATCCCACTCAGTCGCGGCGTCGTAGTCGGCGCGTCGCAGCGTGCGGCCCATCAGGACCTTCTCCAGCGCGTCCTTCTGGCGCGCGCCCTTGGGCCGGGGTGCCTCGAAGTCGAGGACCAAGCCGTTGCCCCGGTTGCGCACGCCCGACGAGTCGAACTTGAGGCCGTGGGTCTTGCGCACGAAACGGCGGATGTCGCGCTGGAAGGTGGTGCCGCCGCTCCAGCCGAGGACGGCGCAGCCGACGGTGCGCCAGGCCGAGACGATGATGTCGACGCGGCGGTGGATGTTGGGGTTCTTTTTCTTCTTGTTCTTGTTCTTCGTGCCACTTGGGGAAGAGGTTTCCGCGGCGGCGGCGTCGTCGTCGTCGTCGTCGTCGTCCTTGCCCTCGTAGTTGGGATCCTGCCACACGCACAGCGCCTTGTCCAGGCTGTCGAACCCGTGCCCGTGGCTTGTGGACCCGCGGAACGGCAGCGTCGCCTGCCCACGATCACTAGTCGTGGTGTGCAACGTCAACGTGTGCGTGATCCACCCCTCCGTCTCGAGACTCCGGACCACGTCCACGACGAGATCCTGCGTCTTTGACTCGTCCCGGTGGGACAGAATGACATCGACGTCGCCCGAGAATTGCTTTCCGCGTCGGTAACCTCCCACGATGATGAGCTCCACATCCTCCTTCGTACCGAACTTGTCTTCCGGAATGTCGAGAACGGCTCGCGCGTGCCGCAGGATCACCTCCCCAATCGACTCCACCTCGCTCCTGGGGATCTTCTCCATGAACTCGTCGTAATACTTGACTCCGATCTGCTGCACGCGTGTCAATGTCGACCACCCAAACTCCACCACATCGTCGATGTCCCGCCAACCGTGCTCGAAATAAAACTTGCGCGCCGTGTCCGGTCCGACGCCCCATATGTTCCAGAACAGTCGGAGATGCTGGAGGTCCTGATCAGCGTCCAGGTCGCGGACAACTTGGATGAATCTTTCGGAGTCGTCGGCTTCCGGCGGAGCAGAGTCTTGCCACTCGCGCCAGAGTGCTGCGATTTTTGTTTCACATCCTGGTAAGCGCGTGATTTCTTCGACATGGTGGATGCGGTGTGGGTAGGCGGCGACTGAGGCAATCGAGGTCGAGTAAGCGCGGACACCAATATCATCTAGCCTCAGTACTCTGGCTTCTTTTATCTTGGTAAGCTGCGCGATGAAGGCTTCGTTAGCTGTCTGCATAGGTGTGGAGCGGCAGCACGCGTAGGCCGCGTTTGGGCCGACTGCCCAGTCGGGAAGAGGAGGCAGCGGATGCTCGGCCTGATATTCAAGTTCAGATGTTGTGGTGCGATGAAGCTTAGGTGGCATGTGTTTGGTGGCGTCAGTCTGTGATGGAGCATGGCGGTATCCATGATCACCAAAGCGACGGCGAGCTGAAGAGGGTAGGGCTGCCGCTTCGGCTTTTGCGCGTTCCAGTATGGAAGTTGTCACAGTTGGTTTAGATGCTCTTCGTGCTGTAGTGCCTTGAGATTGGGATCCGGAACCTACTCTGGAATATGCTGATAGAGGTGCTTGGGCTTTTGGGGAGACTTCCCCAGCAGGCTTGGTGACGATTCTCGCAGCATAGACAATGTAAGGTTGGTATGGAAGCAGACGTCCCTCCTTGACGCAGGCTTCCAGCCAGGAGAGTTTGAGGATGAGAATATGGGTTGAGAGATCGGGCCAGAATGTTTGAGCCGGTGGAGACGTACCGTCATTCACAGAGATATCCGAGGATGATGAAACTGTGCTTGAGTTGGTCCGTCCATGTCTTGTCGAACGCCGGCCGCTACCAGCATGGTCTGCAAGCTTGAGTTTCTTGCTCGGTGGAACTTCTGCTCCGGCCTGTCCATGACCTGCTCCTCCGTCGGTGCTGCTCTCGGGCAAGGCTGCCTCTTCTGTCCACACTCCCCTCGCCCGAAGATCGAATGCGGCGCGCTTCTTCTGGGCGACTCTGCCTATGAATATCCTTGCCTCTTTGGTGTCATATGTCAGCTTGCCGCCCGCTTGAACGACCAGGTCTTCGGTGTCATGAAGCTCTTCTGGCTTCAAGTGCGTTGGAAGGATGAAGATTGGCGGCGATGACGCCAGGCTCAGGAGAGAGGGGGAGTGTGAAGTGGCCATGGACAAGATATTGTTTGAGTCATGATCCAAATTCGTGAAAAGTCAATTATGTACATAGAAAGAGTAGAGGATTAGACATAAGTGGAAGAGTAGGAAGAAGTGAAGGTTGGTTGAGAAGACATATTGACTTGGGAGGTGTCAGCTATGGGTTGGGAGTATTACGGATTCATGAGGAAGTGCGCAATCTTCCATCTCCAGATCAGAATCAGGGATGAAGATAATATGAGGAACATCGAAAGAACATGGCGAGATGGGAATCATCGTCGTATTCGGGAACTTCAGTTGGTCCGACGATGGAGTCAATTTGATGTCGACGTTCCTCGATTCCTGTCATGTTCCCGTCCAATCAACCATCACCATTTGGGCCACCAAACTGACGTCATGCCAAGCCAATGGAATGCCAGACTCAATTATCCCCTTTTCCTATTTGGGAATGCTCTTGGGTATTATTCTATACCGACAAACATATGGTACCCCTGTTGCTGATTGAGGGATCTAACCATGATAGTAGTATCCAATACATGTACGAGCCAAGGGTACCCTCATCTACCCTGAGTCCAACTTCACGCTGTATCCCCTTCGTCTTCATCGTCCTCCAAGATGTCATCCAACCGTGTCGGGCTAAACCACTCGGTCTCTTGCTTCTCCAATACGGAAGCAAAGTCTGCCGTATAGTCCCTCTGGTAATACTTTGTCACTCTCTCTTGGGTAGATGTGGTAAGCGACATGAGATCTATCTCCCCTTCAGGTGGAGTGATGGTTATTCCCGGAATCTCAGTTGCTCGTGGAATGATATAATTCTCTCCTTCAGACTCCCCATTCGCAAACTCGGACTGGATCCACAACAAAGTATTAGGTGGGATGAGAATGAATAATTCGTCTTCTGAAACCGGTGATCGGTTTGGTTTCCTGTTCCGGTACCTGGGTCGATCCTTGGACGAGCGCTTTTTGGAGGTCGGCTCCTCCCACAAGTAAAGCTTTGATTCCAGAGCAGAAGTCTCGACAAGACCTCTTTTGTTGGCTTCGATGCACGGACAACTGGGTCCACAACCTGCTGAAATAGGCTTGCTCTCGCCTGGCGTCCTTATAACCCAGTCCGTGATGAGTTTTTGTTTCAGGTTCCTCGGTTTGGAGTCTTCATTGTCGTATTTTAGCTTGGCCATGAAACCGTCTAACCCCTGAACACTTTGACTGCGTCGTCTCTTCCTCTTGCAATCACAATATTTCCAATACTGCCCGAGAACGCTTTGTCGAACGTTCGCCCACAGAAACTCATTGTTAGTATTGTCGACAGAAGCCCTGGATCGACGGAAAGCTAGATAAACGAGAGGGAAGTCAAGGAGGTGGAGGAGACGACTTTTCCGCGCCCGTCCGATGTCGTGCAAATCGATATCGCTCTCAAAGTCCTTGTCCCCCTCAACCCGATGCTTCGGGCTTCCAAACCATCTCACGGCCCGTTTTAATGCTGGCCGACGCTCGGCCAAATCAAGAGATGCCTTGAATTCCAGAGAAGTCCCGGCCTTTTCAGCTTCGACCGCCCTGATGTATAACTCTTTTGATTGACGACAAGCGGCCCAGCTGTTCTGGATGACGGAGTTTGAAAACTCTCTGCCCGGATTCTCATGCTCATATTCCTCCTTGAGTTTTAGGGCTTCCCACACTTTCCCCTGCTCGATGAGACACATGATCAATTGAATATGATCACGCCAACTGTCATACTTTTCGGTGCCGCCCAGATCTTTGATGTCGTAGAGCTTCGACGTCTGTATGTTGAATCTGTACAAACCTTCGGCCTCCACGGCCCTCCCACTGCGCTGCAGCACTACCGCAAGCTCATACAACATATACAGCAGATATGCCCCGTTGGTGTCATCTCCATATGTGTCGTGGGAAGGCAGTTCAAGAAGTCGACACACTGCTCTTTCGGCATCGTCAGCCATGTCTAGCATGCACTGGCAGTATACGATTCGGTAAGTTAAGCGGCAGACGGAGGCTCCGAGAACCGGCGTCAGGTCGTACGCTCTCTCGAGTAGTCGTGTACCGAAGAGGAGGGCACCTTTGTACTTTCTCATGGTCATTAGGTCCAGCATGTGTTTTTCTACCCAATACAGGGTCGTGATGTCTTTATAGCCCCATTGTTCGTCATATGGCAGCTCTCTCCAGTATGACATGGTCATGCTGGAGACTATTTAGCAATCGGTAGGTTTGTGGGAGCGATCGACACTCTTGCCTCTGATGAAAGGCAATATAGTGCTTTTGGGGAATACGTACTGCGAATGTTCCAAGGAGCCAATATCTCCGCCTATTCCTGCTTTATACCGCGCCATCCAATGGTGTCGCTGTGCGAGGTTGTATGAAGCATTGTTTAGTTCCGGCGTGGCCAGCAGTCGGGTGAGAATCCGGCCGGCTTCAGGCCAATTCATCTGAACAACACTAAGGTGTGCTTCTGCATCCTCAATCTCGTGCAAGATCCGTCTGCTGCTGGCATCGTCTGGTAGATGACGACCAACAACTCGCTTCGCCTCCCGCAGTTCATTCACAGCTTGACTATAATCTGATACATTCATAAAGGCGGTAGCCCTCACTTGACGAATTTGGACATACTCACGGTAAAGTGTTGCATTACGACGGTGTCGACTTTGTTGATGGGTGCACATGTTGAGAGCATGAGTGATAGTCACACCAGCCAAGCCTGGGAAGATACCGTCGTTGACAAGGAATGTCGCGACGTGCTTAAGAAATGTCATGTACTGCAGGCTGCAAAACTGTCGAAGTTGCCCTGATTTGAGATTGCAAAGCGCCATTATGTGACCGAGCATCCGCCAGAATTTATCGGGATCGAAGATGGGACCATTCTCCTGCGGCTCATGCTCTGGTTTGGTGAGGTATTCGCTGAGCACAGAAATCCAAGTGTGGACGAGATATGTCAACTCCTGCTTGTCCTCGATTTTTCGGCGTTTTAGTTGCAGCCAACGGTGCACCTGAGGGTGAAGGTTGATAGTGGCAAGCTCAGTTCCCTGGTCGATCTCAACTAACCCACTCCGACGGAGTAAGTCAATGGCTGAGTGAAGCCTCCCTATACTGTTCTGAAACATTGGGAACTTTTCAACAATAACAACAGGTATATCCTCTCGATCGACGACTGAGCAGATTGCTAGCAACTGCCTTGCGGCAATATCGTAGTCATCCAAAGCGTCCCATAAAGTAGACATTATGTTTGCCAGAATTGAACCGGAGCCAGGAAAAGTGGGAGTACAGCCTTCCCTAGCCTTATATGCGCATAGTTGTTGAAAATTACCAGGGGATATCTGCAGAAAGCGCATACAACCACAAGAGAGCGCAAGGCAAAGTGGAGCAGTATGCCACGGATCTTTGTGGGAGTGCCAGAAAGCACGGAGAGAGTCGACCGCATCGATGCTGTTCGGTACTGCGGCTCTGAAATACTGTTCGGCTTGTTCCTCGTTGACCGCGCCGACATGCAGACATGTCGCCCGATTGGCGAGCTTCAGTCCGCACTCCATGGGCGGTCCATGTTCATGGCTGGTGATCGCTCTTGGAAGGACATACGAAGACGTAAAGAGTAGGCGACAGCGGTCTGGCAGAAAGAGGTCATTGATCTTTAGTTCATTTTCCATGTCCTCTTCCAAGTAGGACTGGAGGTCGAAGACGACAATGAGAAGCTCATCCCGGCGAGCTTCCAGTGTGGATCTAATCTTCAGGAGAGTATGGGTTAAAGTCAGACCTTGTGGAAGATGCTGTCCAGTAATGGTGGTGTACGCCGCTCTATAGTCGCGGATGAAATACTCGAAAGCGCGTCCATCTATCCATAGGATTTTGCAGCCCGTCCTGGCGGAAAACTCCAGAGCAGCCGCAGTAGCAATACGACGCTTGCTGTTGCAGTATTAGAGATCGTCACTTGTTAGACGAGCAGGCAGAGCAGAAAAGGGTGCTGGCTCACCCACAGCCTGGGGAACCCCAGAGCAGGATCTTTGCATCACAGACCCCATGGCAATTGTAGGACTGATCGAGTGCTGTCAATACCAGGGCAGCATCGTGCGACTGATCGATTGTCGGTGGACTATAACCATCTTCCTGGGGTGAAGATGGTGGTTTTGGTGGATGGTCACTGACGGCGAGAGGATCGTCGTGTAAGCGTGGCTCGAGATCCATGCATTGTTGCTCACAGAAATCCAGCACCCATGTACAGAGTTTGTCTGAAAGGACTTGATGAGATGGTTACTATGTGTGATCCATTTACAAGAGAATCAAGAAGGAGTTCTTGAGGGAAGAGACTTCAAGAGTCAAAGTGCGGAGCGACAAAAGACTTTGAGTCGAGGCCATCAGGCGTAGTTTGCGCAGTCTGCGAAACTGCGCAAGCTGCGCCAAAAGGTCCTAGCAAGTCCCCCAGGCTTTACCATCTTCCAACCATTTAAACCCCTTGGGTGGCCTTACATTACTACCTTCCCCTAGGCTGCAGGCATCAATCTTCACCAAGTACATCCAAAGGCCCTCCTTGACGCAATATGCTAATGCTGAGTACTTGCAGTCGGTGACCAACGGTCGCTTGACTTGAGCAAGATGATTGTGCCAGCCCATCCGCCCTTGGCCTCGTTTCCATCACGCACTTGTCACCCCTGTTAGATGCGCCTCCCTCTTCTCCCGAGCGGACGCATGCAGGAATTCTGGAACCAACTCCGTCCCCAAGAGTGCGGCTGAAAAAAGGACGCTCCACTTCACCCCCCTCGGTCCCTCTGGGCCCAACGTACGCCATTGGTTTCAGCGTGGGGTATTCGCCTGCAAACTCGCCTCCGGCCGCGGATGCATTTGGTCGCAGGTTCCAGCCAAGTCCTGGTTGAACGCAGCCCAAACCGGTGTGCAGCGTCACGGGGAAAGGTGACTGAAAAACAGGTGCGGAGCGGGCGTTGCCTGTGAGAATGTGGCCTGGAATGATTGGGTGGAGAACAGGACCATGTCTAGAGCAGACGCTGATGAGTCCAATAAGAGCAAAGAGTCAGGCTGGAGGGTGAAAGCAAGCAGCAAAAAGGCCTTTGGTTCGTATGGATCAGCATTCGCTTTCATCGATACGCTGCCAGCCTCTCACATGGCCGTCCGTTTCGCGATCCTTGGCTCCGAAATCGTCCATCGTCAGATCATTGCAGACCTGAGAGCATGCCGATGCAGGGCTGGATCTTCTGGGCACGCCGACCGAGTTGGCCATATCCAGTCCACCCCCCAGACAGTGTAAGTTGTGTCAAAGACGTCCCTCAACTGAAGGTAAATCATTGCAACGCCTGCTTGCCATGAAGATGTGCTCGATCTTATGACCCGTCAACGCTTTCTGTTCCTAGCTTCCTCTTCCTCTTTATGCGCTCAAAATGAACCCCCAGTCTATGACAACAGCGACAACAGCAACACCAGCAACACCAGCAGCTCCCATTCACCGACCTGACATGAAAGGTCGCAGTGTGAGCGACGAGTCACACTATGCCATCACGCCTACGCGAACTTTGTCTCCCACAACCACACTCTCCCCGTTGTCGACCGAGTCCTTGTCACCTACAGCGAAAGCCCCATTCTCTTTCCCCTTCCACTTCACAAGGCTGCGATCACGGTCCAAGTCACCGAGACCACCACCTATAGACGTCAGCATTCCGTCGCCCACCACAATCACCACGACACCGACGAACCTCAAGCACGTCCAGACCTCACCACTCCCTGCTCCGAGCCCTTCTTCTCCCCAAGACCATGCACGGACGCAGAAGAGACACACCTCTGACAGCGCCATCTCGCCAGCGACCATGAGCCCCCCAGCATCCCCTGACCTACAGAAACGCGACCACGGCTGGATCCAGAAGAAGTCGCGGCACAGCGGGAGCTCGCCTGGTGGGTATGGACGGCACAGTGACGACTGGCTTTTTGGCGGTATCAGCCTCACGCAGACGGCCAGGGAGATTGTCACTCGAGGCAAAGGGAGGGGCAGGAAGGAGGAGGACGAGGACGCCGTCGCAGCCACCGGCACTCGCTGACTACGACACCCATATTCTGTCCCTCTCCCCCTGCTTCCTCTGCTTCCTGTGCCTCCTTTCCCTCTCTCCCCCATTGCTGATTCTATGCACGAAGCGGCAACTCCCCTTGTGTGAACTTTGTTTTACTTGTCCTGCCTGAGATGACCGGGAATGAGTGGATGGACCTACAGGAACTAGCGATCAAGATTATCAAGGACTGCATGAATAAATCGACCAGTCGATTGACGGATTTGGCTTATGTATGGTATCAGAGCGAGGCATGCCCAGGAGTTACGACTTTTCATGTAGCTTGCTATCCCCTTTTTTTTCTTTCTCTCTTTTCAAGAGAGGTGTACCACAGAATCGATAGGTTCAGATTGACACACCTCCCCTCTCTGCCCGGCCGCGTCGCGAAGCGGAGCTGTGAGGAGAAGCGGGTACATATACTATAAATACTATATATACTCGATGACTCGATGACTCGATAGGTCAGTACGAGAATCCATGCCCTCAGTTTAGAGTCCAGAGTCCAGAGTTCACAGTCCTGGATACCGATCAGGCAACCCTGATCGGTCGTTCATCATTTCATGATTTTCCAACCGAAACATCCTCTCTCGTCCATCCGTTCATGTATGTCATTATGAGCCGAGATCATTTTTACCGGGTTTCTTTCCACCAGGCTCGCCGGGGTAACGGGGGTTATAGGTCGGAATGATAGATGACCCTGATCTATATCAACTTAAAAAAAAAAAACCATCGCTTTCGTCCTGCCACGATATCTTCTGGCGTGTGCCACGCATATCCTCCCGAGGGGTGCGATCGCTAATAGCGCTGGTATGGATTTTCCCCGTCTATGGTCGGAACGCCACATGATGCGCAAAGGAACTCCGCTGGATCGAGTATGCTGTCGCCCTGCGTCTCGTTGAGCCTTTGGGAATGAGAGTAGAGAGTATCCGTCTGCGAGGATCTTGGTCAAGGAGGAGATTTTGTGTCTAGACACGGTTGAGTTCAGACCAGGCACCAATTAGGTCTCTCCCCCTGTTTTCTTCCTTGCCTTTTACCCAGTCGGACTGTCTGGCCCCTTTCCTCATACCTTCTCTGTCCGCAGCATGTTTTGCTCCTCTTGGTACCGAAGAAAGAGTATGTTCGAATACGAACAAGGCCAATCGAGACCATCACAAGGTTCCGAAACCGACACAGTTCTCAATCGCCTTGGTCAGTTTCTCCTCCATCACGGCCCGGCTCGAGTACTGAGGCAACAGCAGCCGGCCGTAGCACGTGCTGCTGCTTGGTAGTCGAGCGTCCTCCTCGCCATTCTTCTGTACGATGAACGTCACGCTCTGCATACCATTGACTGGGACTCGATCACTCGCGGTCACGAATTCCAGGAGCTGCCTGTGTTGATGGGTGCTCATGCTACGGACAATGTGCCAAAAGTCGAGGATTGTCGGATGGTCGGGTGTATACTCGTCGTAGGTGGTTGTCATTTGGAGCTCGTCAATGTCAATGTCGGGATATCCTTCGATGAGGGACTTCAGGGATTCAGGATTGAAGATAGACAAGGCCGTTCGATCGAGGCAGGTGTAGAAACCCCTAGCAAAGGCTTCGTATTGTGGTTCGATGGACTTGTGCGTCAGCCACAAGATATAGTCTTTAACATATTGTTCGCGGTTCGCGTTCGTGACCAATGCAGCCTCTTGTCCAGAATTCTCCAGCATGTCACTGTCAATGCTCAAGGGCGTGGATATGCCCTTAACTTCGATAGAAGATGTCCGACTCAATATTGAACCATTCGGTAGGCTGGCACCGAGGCTGGGTGACGGCTGAGGGGGCGGAGTTAGCGCTGGCTCTAACGGCAACTCGAAAGAGGTCGATTTGGACTTTTCTTTCCCCTTCTTGCTCATTTGCGACTTTGTTGGTGGCCAACGGTCATGGCGCCCAATCTTCTGCATATCCACCGTGACTGTCGTTCCACAGAGCTCGTAGCTGAATTCATAAGTCCTGGCAATCACGTCGCCAACGTCCCCGTCTGACCAATCCAAGAGTGCCTTCAAACCTCTCGCCAATTCGGGCCAGCCGTCAACGATGTGGTCGAGCTTCTTCACCTTGAGCCCCAAGAGTTTCCTGTAGAAAGCCAACGGCATAGTGATCGGAAGAGTGAGTCCGTTGTAGATGGCAATGGACATCAAGATACCCAAAGCCTCAAATCTGTAGAGGGGTTCGAAGGAACCTGGCTGGAACCAAGCCATCCTTGTCGTACTGTCAACCGTGAACATGGAATACTCTGGTCGTAGCGCCTCTCCAAAAACAGCTCTGAAGAATTCTTGCTGGACTCCGCCATGATCAAGGCCATCCTCACCCTCGTCCTTACCGAGGCGGACGCGCAATGGCCGCATCAGCTCTCTGCGTTGGCGTCGCCATATCTGGTCGATTGCATCATTCAAGATGTCATTTCTCCGGATCGTGAGCACAAAGTACCTGGCCATATGAGGCCGCAGATGAGCCAGCACTTCCTTTGCGCCGTAGATGGGGATGGCGGGTGCCCACATATATTGCCTAATGTCATTGTATACAATGGTGGCATCCTCATGCGACTTCTTCATAACCGCAATGTTCATTGCCCTGAAATACTTGACCAGAACATGTGGTTGGAAGAGGAAGGAGAAAGATAGCAGATGCATTTGTCGAGAGTCTGGGCGAAAGGACAGCCATTCTGCGGGCATGGACATGTCGTCGAAAGTGTCGGCGATGAAGGGCATATGAAACCAATCGGCATCCAAGTTCAGCTGATGTCGAGCACGGTACAATCCAGCCAAAAATTCCAGAGCACCACCCACCGGGCCTGCACGGAGGATAACGGGAGAACGATCCCAATCCCTGAGCATGACCGTCCTTCCCAGTTCCAGAGCAGCGGTTCCGATCCAACTGCAGTTCTTGTCATAACGGTCCCACCCATTCAGGTAGTCTCGGTCAAAGCGATCAATGAGCGACTCAACAATGGTGGTCTTGCTCGACTTGGGCATGCCTGGGCTCTTTAGAGTTGCCGCCCACTTGCCCACGGTCAATCGGTGGCTGAGAACGTTCATGAAAGCAGTGAGCAGCCGATGGACAGCCCAGTCTTCGGTAACATCGATGATGCCGATAATCTCGCGCGCGAGCAATAGATCTCGTCCTCTGAAGCCATCCCAATACGAATGCGCACGCCCGTTGTTTCTCTCCCTCGCGAACTGGACAAATTGGTCTTTCCCAGTGAAAAGTGAAGCATTAGGAACATGAAAGATAGTGGTCGCTAGCGATAACAGTGCCACAAAGCATAAGTCGGTTATCTGAGAGTCTTTGAGCGGAATCAACGGTTTTTCGACCTCTAAGAGGATATCGAGCTCCTCAGAATCCGGCGATGGTGAATTCCGAGAGCTGTTGCCGTCCGAGGATTGGCGTCCCTTGAACAATGCCGACTCGGAACTCGCGCTGCCTGATCGACTGTGTTTTGTAGAACGTCTGCTTTGCAGCCATGGCGGCAGGTAGTACGCGTTCTGCAGCGCATTCAATATGCTGTTCATGACCAGATCGCGTTCCTCGAATTTCTCAATATAAGCAAAGCTGAACAAGAGCGCTTGCATATCATATCTCGTACTGGTGGAAATGATGGGCCACGGTGTTATGCGATGGACTTGAGCTCTGTTTTCTGAACCCGCACCACTCTGCTCGGATGAATTCCTAAGTCCATTCCAATAAGTAACTTGAAGATCCTTAACCGTGTCCACCAGCCTCACAGGGTCACTGAGGCAATAGACAAGGCTCTGCTTTATAAAGGGAACGAATCTGCGTTGATAGTTGGCATCGGCGGGACCAACAGACTTCAGCCAGGGTAGAGTGATCCAGGTAAGTGTTCGGAGGCTGTACACCCGTTGGTGAGGTGGTTCTTGCGACTCGCATCCTTGATCTTCTGTCTCTCCCTCCGATGTTATCTTTGTACTTTCAACAGATGTAGCGAGTTCTTCCGGCATGGCATCGACAGCAGCTTGTTTGCGATCGCCATAGGGCTCGACTGATCCCGAAACATTGGTCGTGCGGGCATCGTTCTTTGCTGGCAACCAGTTGAGAAGCCGCAGCGGCACCAGATCAAACAGTGTCTGTGTAAACGAAGCGAGATCTTTCTGTCTTGCAGGAGCCGGCGCAGGTTGTTCTGGGTTATCCTTTAGATCGTCTTCACCGATGTGCCCTCTCCCCATATTGCTTTGGGTAATAGTACGGTTCAACACGTCAACCACGTCATCGGCAGCGTTTGTATCTATTTCTCGCAGGCGTCTGCCCGCCTGAACCACACCATCCTGACTTGTTCTTCGCGGCGCGTGCTCCGCTGTCGGGATGGCCTTGGACGAGTCCTTGGTACGCATGGCAACGCTCGGAGGCTTTGAGAGGTGGCCATTTTCTTGTCGCAGGTGTCCAGCCTTCTCATGACTATTCCTTCTTTTTCTAACGAGGGCCGGATCCTCGTACCACGGCACAACGGGCTCGTTCTGGCAGAGTCCGGCGAACGAATCCTTGCCATTTCGACTGTATTCGTCCACCAACTGACATGCCAGCGTCCTCGCACTCAGTTCAGTATATTTTCTCAGAGGCCCCGTGCTGTTCCTCTTCCTGTAGCTCAGACAGGTGGGGGTGGTACAGTTGACGTTTCTGCAACCGTACTGGATCTGGTTCGTATAGCGCCGAATCAAAAGGCGAAGCCGCCGGTCACGCTGGGCGTAGACGTTGGAGTAGAACAGCTTGGGGTCTGAGATCGGGATTACATCGTCGAGGATGTAGTCTGGCGCATTGAACCCAAGGTCGCTGGCCTTGACGCGGGGTTTTGGTTTCAGATCCTTCGTGAGTGGGTTCGTCGAGGGCGACGGGTTTGGAGCCATGCTTCGTAACATGCATGACCAATAAAGATTCCCCAAATAGAAAAAGAAGGAGGCGATGGAGAATTAAGAAAAGTGGAAATCGCGATAAAGGCCGAAAAGTTGCTCGAGTAAAGGGAGAGAAAAGCGCTGGTTGTGTTTCAAGAGAACAATTGGCCGTGCAGTGCCAAAGATGCGGCGACGGAGATATCGACCCTTGCGTTGACGAGGCAGAAACTCAGCCTCGTGACACCAATTAGGGAGTCAGGAATTTATCACCCAGGCATTAATAGAGGCCAACAGAATAGATTTCGTCTTTTGTCTCTCTTTGCAAGTCTTTCGCTCATAATACACTATATTACACCCCTGGAGAGTACTCCGTGGACATGACTCCCACAATACTCTCTACCGCAGATACCACGTCCAGAGCGCATTGCCGGCCAGCAACAACCCACTTTGTCACTCAACACGACATTGCCACATTGACATCCCTGGAAAATTTGCGGAATGCTTCGAGTTTTTAAAGCCATTCCAAAGAACCGTGAGAATTGTTTCGCCTGTGTCCCATTTTATGTCCATTCGCCCGCTATGCCAATTGCAAAAGCCTTTCTTCCAACGTTAGAATATAACGAAGTTGAAATGATCTTGGGGTAGAGTAGAGAATCTTGCAAGGATCGAGATAGAGCTCCAATGCCGTAGAAGTCCCAGGAGCAAGAATGATCCGGGGTGGTCGTTTCAAATGAAATGTGGCACTGTAGCCATTTCCAGTCATGCTGCGACACGCCCTGATTCTGAAGGCGGTGCAGGTGGTGGAAGCTGTGGCAAACGTTAGTACCGACAGAGTGACGTGCAAGTTTACCTGGGCAACTTACATCTAGTCTCGTTGACTCTGCCATGAATCGTTGAACACCAATACCAACGCCCTCGATGACAGCGAGGAAGATGGCACACATGATGGCGCCGTTTCGGGCCGCTTTGTAACCTCCTCTTATCGCCAGCGACCCGCCTGTTAGGAATCCGGCGATGATGGAGTTATATGGATCCTCCTTCTGGCGGATGCCCTTGACTGCGCAATCGAACGTGCTGAACATGCCGCCCCATACACCAAAGTTGCCTCCTGTGACGGGCGCTCGAGCCTTGATGGCTGTGATCATGCCTATCCGTCGTTCGCCGTAGGGTGAATTCCTAAATCCTTTGATTCCGTGCCATAATGTACCTAAGCCGTGTCAAAGAGGGAGTGTCAAAGGAAGGGTCTTATCTTTCCTACCTCCCAAAGCACCCATACAAAACGCTCCGCCAAAGTCGGACAAGGCGACCCAGGGACAGGGATCTCTGGAGTGATCCATGATCTGAGGTCAAGCCACTAAAGTATTTTATCTAGTTGTGCCTATCCCCACGTGTTGAGGTAGCGCGGACGGTGACAAAGATGTTGATAGTGCTGGGGAGTTCGAGTTATTGTCGCAGCCCTCGAGCGGACAGAACGTTCGGTTACTGTCTGATTTGGACAGATTTGGACCAGAATGAAAGAGGATTACTGCGCTCTAAGTACACCGCAAGCAAAGGAATTTTCAACAGTGAAGGCCAGGAAAACCTTGACAGTGCATGAACAGGAAGATCGACTAGTTCGCGATAAATGGGAGAACGATCCATCTCCGAGTCGCCAAAATTTCGCCGCAGGAGCACGTGATCAGAGTCATGTGATTCTCATATAGATATTGGTGATTCTCAAGCAGGATAACTTTTTCGGTCCCATATTCAGACAGATGTAGTGCGATTTCGCTTCTGCAAGCACGGTATCTAACAAATCCATAACCATCGTCGTGTCATAACCTCATCTATGCAAACCCAAATCCTCGCCTCAACGCTAGAGTAACACAGAACACCTGCATTTCCCAGTTCATCGACGGGAGGAGACCTCTGATTCTCTGGTGAGGAACATTCTTCTTAGCGTGCTCGGCCTCTTGGGTTTGACAAGTGCCTTTTCTCTTTTCTCCGACCTGCTGCTTCCTTTGCTTCGTCGCGATTTTGACGAATTCTCGCTCCCTACAACCGTTCGATCTGGATCGTCATCGATCCTCCGGTGGTGTTTCTTCTTCTTGGACTCCGTCCTCGGCTCCTTGTGCTTTTCTCCCCCATGTTCTCGGGGGAGAGGCAGGTGGCCCATGCTTCTTGCTGCCAGTGGAGTAATGAATTCACCTTCGACGCTTGTAGCAACGCTCGCCGTCTCGGCGTCCGGAATGCCACGCCTCCAGTGTTCGATGCGATCGAGTTCCTTGACATCCAGCATCTCATCCACCGCGTCTTCTTCTTTGTCACCCACCCTGGCCCTGATCTTCTTGATAATCTTGTAGCCTCCAAACATGACAACAGTGATTCCGACGCCGACACCCACCGCAATGAGAAACTCCGGAGCTGCCAGCATCGCAAATACTGAGGGCGCACCGACTTTGAAAGCCGCAAGCGCACCAGGTGTCATCTTGGCTGCTAAGTTGCTAATCTCAGCCAACGTCAAGGCGACAGCTGCCATAGAGTCTGGGTTTGTCTGCAGGTGCGAGATTATAGCGCGGACACTGTGCTGTGCACAATTGGCCTCCTCCATCAGGATCTTGCATTTGAGGACCAGGCTGGACATCTCTTGTTTCTGCAGTTTTTGTTCAACTTTGGGATCCAGCATCAGAGACTCCGGGTGAAATTCACCATAGGCAAGGTCCATGTCGACGTCAGAAACGGAGTGGGACCGCACAGGCGGGGGCCGATGTGGTCGATGAGCGTCGAGTGGTAAATCGGTCGTCCGGCGAACAAGCCCATTCCCTCCATATGGAGGAGCTGAATATTCCGGAACTGGTGACACTGGGTTGTGGTGACCATAGAGTTCTTGATTGAACTCTGCAAGACCGACATGTCTAGGGAAGGCTTCTTCCGGCGCCATAGGAGCTGCAACCTCAGGAGCTGCATGTGCGTCCCGGTAATAATATTCGGGAGGATGGTGGTGTTGACTCTCTGCAGGTCGATATCGACCATGGTCGACCTCGTTGCTGTGGCTGTGATGTCTGCGTGATCTTCGGGATGCCTCCGACCTTGTATCCTCTGCTATTGTCACATTCTTCATTGCCTTTCTCAATTCCTTTTCATCTCTTGCCTTTCTTTCCGCCGCAATCTCAGCCTTCCGCTCGAGATAGGCCATCTTTGCCTCCTTGAAGACATTTTTCAATTGTTTGGTGGTGCTGACAACCTTGTTTGACCGGTCAATGATTGCAATTGTCTGGGTAATTGCAGCCATGCCTGCCTGGATGGCTCTTGACTGGCTTTAGGTCTGTTCAGCAATTGTAGAGGGTGAAGAAGGAATCGATTGCGAGAGGACGAGGTATATCGGGCGGATGAATGACGAGGGAAGAGTCTTGCTTAAGAAGGAAGGAGTCGCGGTGAGAGTTGTCTCTAGTCCAGCCGCTTGTCGGGGACTGGTGGTGGAAATAGCATGGCTGGGGGAGGGAGGAAGTTTCGGTCAAACAAAGCAGGGGCAGATTCAAGTAATGGAGGAACGACAAGGAGTCACAAAGATGATGGGCTCGAGGCCTTTGTACAGTATCATCATCTGTCTCAAAGAAACGTCCAAAGGGAGTTGGGCGGCAAGATGAGGGCCATTTGTCGCCAATTAAATGGACATTTATTGCAGGGCGAGCTGCGTGTTCCTGGCTGATTTGACCCAACGATGGGTGCGATCGGCGGCCGCCCTGGGGAATCACTTTCAAAACAAGTGGCACAGCCCCCGGCGCCACAGTCGCGAAAGCCACATTTGTGGCGTTACAGCTATTGTGGCGCAGGGTGAAAGGATTGGATCCAGATTCTACGCATCTCAGCTGAATGCGACACATCTCTTTGCCAGCTTCGTTTTCGTTGGACAGTTTCTCCGGTTGTTTCTTCCCAATGTGTGCAGATCTCGTGTGACTTGTCACCCAATCTTCGAATTGACTCGGTCAATGAGTGATTACTACTTTGTCCGCAGTACTTGTAGGGTACATATTTCACGCCTTGTCCGCAGCAAGCAATTTCTCCACCGCCGCGACTTTATCCTCCATCGTCTGTTCTTTGTCCGTACGAGATCCTACGCGAATATCGCTCTGAATACGCACTATGCCTTTCTGGTGCAGAAGAGTGTGCGCCTGTCCAATCAGCCGCATGACATCGTCCCATGATCCTTCTGTTCGGGAACGGAGGGATTAGCAGAGAACCATATAAAAGATGGAACTATTGTGCCATCGTCCGAGATCCTGTCGCCCACTCACCAACGGTTGTGCCAGCCGAGTGCATGCTATACTTCAATCCGCTCCTCTTCATCAAGCGCTGGACCTCTGCGATTTCTGCCGAGACCGACGCCGTAGGTGTGCCGAGCGGGATGAGGCAAAAGTCGGCGGTGCATTTCGGGGGTGTCTCGAGGTTGACATGTTCTTGCCCTTGCGACATTTTATAAGTCTATGATGTTCAGGGTCCCAATCAACGAAAAGAAAGAATGTTTGACTGGATGGTATGTATATGAAAATGTCCTCGGATCAACTCCCAAAGACAGCACGATATCACAAGGTGGGACAGGAGCCCCGCCTCTTTGCAGTAGCTTTCAGTGGTGTGGCGGTGCAATCTACATTGAAGTTACCAAGCACAAGTCACCATGGCTCGACGTGGTTTGGACAACTACCGGCGATTTGCTTTGATACAACTTCAATCCAGGCCGTCCCAATATACAAGGGGTCATGAAGGAGGCCTATCATTCCCTTTTATTTATATCATTGTCAAGTGTCGGTCTGTCCTGTGTGACCATCAAATTATTCACGTGTTAGATACACATCAACACACTCGCATACCAGCTTGTGCCGTTGAAAATTTACATCCAGAAATCGAGCCCAATGTATTGAGTACCTTTGCTGCACGATTTTCCCAGTCGAATGGCAGTCACGTAGCCCAGTACCCGAGACTCTCACCTGTCGCATGAAATCGCACCGCCTTGTTGCGCCATAGCCTTGGTGAAAACTTCTCGATGTCGATACACTTCTCCTGAAAGAAAAGGATATCTGTGTTTGGTAGTTTAGACTTTCGTGGGTCGGTAGTCACCAAAGATGGAAACCTCTTCACCGCGGACCATGTACTCTCGTGGGAGGCCGGGAAACTGGTCGAAAAATTTCGAATGGAGCTTGAAAGGATTTTCGAGCTGTCTGATGGCCAGGAGCAAGTATGTCAAGATGTTTTCATTGATATGGCGGTGCTGCTGGCTCTGGCTTCCTGCCGTTGTTGTTGAAGAGTCGGCGCCCGTCCTGTGGTCGACGTACTCTTGTATAAGGACGTACACCACGTCGTCTTTACGAGGCTTTCGTCTCAAATGTGTGTCGTTGAAAATGTTGTTGGACGGACTCCTCGTCGGTCCACCAGGCCCTACTGACCTTGTGGTTCCGTGCGCTCTGGTCTGTGCCATTCCACTGTCGCCTAGTTCTGCGTCCGGGTACGCATTTGCAAACTCCATCTCTAAACAGAAGCTCGCATTCAGTTCGGAGCAGACTTTATTCAAGTCGTACCTCTCGGGATTGAGGACCAGCGCATCCCGGATCTTGGGAAATGGTAACCAGTCGACAATGGGCCAATGGTGCCTGGTCATCTGGAGGCGGCTTGGACGGTAGTCCGGTGCAAGTTGCATGTAGTGTTTGGCCGTTGGCTCGATCCGCCACCGAGTGATGGGGCCGAGCTTGTCCCAGCCGTTGAGGGCATTACAGAAGTCACGGTGACGCTCCCATTTCTCGGACGAGGCGAGGGACTGTAGCATTCTGGCTACAAGGCTGTCGAGACTGGTGGGAGCCGCCATGGTTAGCCAGGTTTCGTCTCGACTTGGAGGTCAGGGCCGTTGCAATACAATACCTCTGACAGTTTGCAGGATCTTCGGCAAACTCCTCTACCATTATTTGACGGACGAGTCCTTCATGGTGGATGATGTCGAAACAGGCATCGGAAGGTCTGCCCACAGGATAGTTTCTCGAGGCGTCACTCAACGGCTTCGTGATCTCCTCAGAGTGGGAAGACGAAATGGCTCTTTGCTGTGAGACACTGGGCGGCGATCTCGTCGCTCGAGGTGCAAAAGTCGTCGGCTCGTGGCCGTGGTCGACGAAAAGATCTGATAGAAGACCTGAATGATAACCACCATTCTCCACTGTGGGATAGATCGACCTGGGAGCTGCTAACATCCCATTACGTTAGTGGGTTGAAGAGCAGGCCACTACATCATCAAGCAGCATGATGGCTCTCTTACGGGGAGGAATCGCATTGAGAGGAAAGGGTGAAGTGTATCCCAAGGCTGACGAGTATGAGTGTGGTCTGGAGGTTTGGTCTACATAATCCGTGAGCTGATTGAGATTGTTGGTGATATCAACCAGTCTTTGTCGAGTCGTGGAGAGGGATTCGGTCAACTCTCGATTGCGATCCCTCAGAGCGCCAATGTCTGTCTCGAAGGTCATTTCGTCAAGTCGTGTATGTTAATACTGGGGACCAACTTGACGAAAGAGATCGTTCTCGTCAAACAAGTCACATCCACCCGTCGAATTTGTGAACCAAGTTTGCACCTATAAAAAGACAGATAATTCATTGCATGGTCCCATACCTTCTACCTCGGAACATGACCCCGGGAGGCATCACCGTTGGGGGGAGAAGGGAGGGAGGGGGAAGGGGCTCCTTAGAGGGAAGGAGGCATTGTCTAGGCATAGTTTGTGGGCAGTTATCGCTAAAGATTCTAGCTTAGGACCCTTCGAGTCCTCGTACAGCTATGCGATCCCCAGGTTACAGGTTCGGCTCCAGGTTGCCGTTGTTGGCGGGTCTCCAAAAGGCCCAGCCAGCATCGCCAATCACGGTGGTAACGATGCTCCCATTTCCACATTTCCACGTAATTATCGTCCGGAAAATTGAGGAGCCGCGACTGGGGGAGGATTGTTTGAGGGGATCGTGACCTAGATTCGTAAGTGCCCTTATGGCCCCGTGGGGTCGTTGTTTCTTGGTTGTACCGAGTCAGTCGAATTCCTGCTTTCCGACCTCTCGTTCTGTCGAGGACATCGGTCACCATGCACGATTCTACACGTTCAGTGACTGCTCTAGCATCGTACGATAGGCCGCCCAACCATGCCTGTCACATATGCGGCAAGTCTTTCGCACGAAGGGATGTTTTAAGGCGCCATATCCGCCATCAGCATGGAGAATCCGCTTTCCAGAAGATGAATCCGCCTTCACGACGAAAGAGCTGTCTTCGTTGCGCGCTGTAGGTTTGATAGACTGTCCTCAACTCGTTGGCCGGGTCGACCAAGACTGACGGATGCAGACACAAGGTCAAGTGCACACGCGAACCGACTTGCCAGGAATGCGGCAAGAGTGGATTGCTCTGCCAGTATAATTTCGAGCCGTCTTCGAAGAACACAGAGTCGAATGGATACAATAGGCGGCAACCTGGAGAAGACCAGGCCCTTCGTTCGCCTCCCAAGCGTGCCAGACTAGAGATCGAGGAAGTTGGGACTTCTCCTGGACAACAAATGACATCTATGGCACCAGCCCAGTGTCAAAGACCGTCCAGTCTGGAGAATCAAGCAAGTCTAGAGGTTGGTTTGTGCGCGCCACTTCGATAGATCGCTATGCTCACCTTGCTACAGTGGGGGTTCTCCTGGAATCGCGAATCTAATAGCGACATGGATAACCCCACGCTCGTGAGTGTTCACTGCTAAGCAATCAGCCGATCTTGCCTCGTTGCTAACGTGCTGTTACTGGCTCATAGGTATGTCAACCTGATGGTTCCTTCGGACAGCAAATCGTGATAACTGCTCATCGCGATGACAATGATATCAATCGGACAAGTGAAAACCATGGCGTAGATAGTCATGGTCTTTTCACGCCCCTCAGGCTTGATTCTGGGTTGACCAGACACCATGACATTGGTCTAAAACGATCCGGGCCAGAGCACCTGTCTTCAGAACACTGGGATCTTCTTTTTGATATGGAAGACCCTCAGTCTGTGGACCTCACATCCCACGGAACGTCCGAGTGCCAAATGCCGAACCTGTCGGATGAAGGGTTTCCGGATTTTACCATCATGCCAGAAGATCTAGTCACCGTGGGGAGTGAATTTCATCAGCCTTCCAGCACGCCACTTCAGACCCGTCAACCGTCGAGTGAATTCTTACAAGGTCGAGGAAGCTCACCAAACCATGAACGCGCACCAGAACCGTCCATTGCAAATGCGCCCGGTCTTGTTTACGAGGAGATATACAGGTCTATTAGTGGTCCCGTAGAGCCTTCCGCATCTGAGGCTGGCAGCGAACCCGCCATTGAACCAGAACAAAGTCTGGCCCGGAGAATCTATCAAGTCATGCAGCAGACCTCTCTTGGTCAAAGTGGACTGGCCACCGACGTTCCTTCTACATTCCCGAGCTCAGTTCAGCTCTCGGCCTTCTGGGACTTGTACTTTCTCTACTTTGACAGGGTCAGTTCACCACCTCTGAAGTGCGGCGAATTCCTACACTAACGCAATAGCAGCACTGTCCCATCTTACACCGACATCTGGTGAAGCCGGTAACCTGTTCACCCCTAATTGCTGCAGTCGTTACTGTAGTGGGGGCCAACTACGCGGAATCTGCACAAAGTCGGCTGTTTCATCAACAAGGAATTCTCAAGCTCAGTGAAGTCTTACAGACTTCAGCCGACTGCGAAGGGCACGATCGAAACGTCGAAGGGTCCGTGCTGGCCGCGGTTTGCATTCTTCTCTGCCATGCGATACGCAGCCGAAACAGTCAGCAGGCACGGCTCTTAACGACTCTCTTTGACGCCAACATTTCCTGCCTTGAAAAGGTTGGACTTTTTCGCCAGCAAGACAACCGGGTTGGAAGGAGGAGTCGTAATCGGGTGGTTCCGATGAGCAAGAATACCATTTGTGATTGTATGGCTGAGATAAAGAATGGGAACGACCTTGAACTGCACCACCGCTGGCTTGCGTGGGTCGAGGAGGAGACTTCGCGGCGACTCGCATGGGCTTATCTGGTATGTTCTCATCTGGGAGGTTTCCGCGAACAATGGGTACTGAATCTCTGACAGGCAGCAAACTATCTGGCATCTGTGTTCCTTCACGACAGAGTTCTACCCGATCTCGAGGCACCGACTCTGCAAATGCCTTGTGAGGATATTTTGTGGGAGGCGGAAAACACGAAGGTCTGGTCGAGTTGTTTCCCCTGGTCACACACTCCACCAATCCAACTTCCATTCCGAGCCACTCTTCGAGGACTCCTGCACCAAACCATCGCTCTGAGGGATGTTTCACGCTTCGGGCGCCTCGTCTGCGCAGCCCTGCTCCATTACGAGCTATGCAGAGGGTCGTCGAGCGACGAAGTCGAACAACGGAAAAGCATCGCACACCTCTTCAGCGACGGCGGGGACGAGCAAATGCTCAGGTTGGCAGCTGATCTGGCAGACTCTTTCAAGAGGGATATCAGGGCCCAGCTCTGAGTGATGAGTTATGGAAAGACACAGCAAGTTCACCACCAATACAAATTACCGTTGGTGACGGTACCACTCCGATCTGAAGTCATTCAGTCAAGCAGCTTCCCAACGTCTGTATCACCTCGCCCTTTTCTAAAAATCAGTACAATTTTAGTCTCGACCATACGCTCTGCTGCCAGAGTCCCGTGTGGTTGCACAGGCCGATGGGAATTCCAATCGGGGCTTTAGAAATCTGATATTTCTAGCATGAGCGGCGTCTTGCCGTGTGCATGCCACGAGGAACGGGAGGTACATACGAAGACCCTGAAACCCGATCAAACGGGTGATCTTGTTCCCCCAAACTCAACAAGTTCTGGTTAAACCTTGACTCCTTGTCCAGGACCACTTTCTGATCTGGCTGGTCCTGGAAGCACTACTGGCAGGTCTGGAAATGACCAAAAGAACTCCGGGGATGACTTTTGTCACGAATACAAGTACTCGACACTGTCACTCGCTAGCGAATCAAAAATACTCTTCGAGGACTCGATAGAAGACAATGTGTGTGGTTCAAAGTGTGACGTTTGAAATGTCTTGTCGATGGGAATGTTGGATCTACTCGTGCTCATCCACCAAAGGTCCTCGCCCCGTCCTCGTCCGTACTGGTGATCAGGATCGAAAACCCGGTAATTGGCTCAACCCCAAGTGGCAAATGGCCACAAACTCCGCCACTCACTCTCCCCGGCTTTTTGCGGGGCCTGAAGACAAAGTCATGCAGTCGCATCCATCTCGGCCGGGGACAAAAAAGAGTCTGTAACGTCTGGACGTCTGTTCGATTTCCGTGGAATTAGATGGCCGTGGAGATGATTACGGAAGTTCTGATTGGCTGAGAGAGTACGAGATGTCTTCGCCCGTATTTTGCCGGGCTAACCGAGACGGGAGCTCTGTGGAGGTAATTTAATCTACTAACTTCTTTGGGTTTGGCTTTCTTAGTATGATGGTATGACGGAGCTCTATCAAATCTGTGTGACACACAAACACATACATACACGACGTACGAGTTCTGTGCCCAAATTTGGGTAGCTAACCATTCCAGGGGCTTCATCCTGTCACAACAGAGAGTAGCAATTGTAATTGACCGGACTTTATTTCTAAAGAAACATGGAAGTATCAGACCACAGCCCCAAAAAAGGGGCGCTCCCCCACAATCTACAACATATCTAGGCAGTTTTTGCGGCCCCAGGCTCTGTCAAATAATAAGCCAGATCCCCGCCGCGACACTCACGCTCCGTCTTGCCCCGTCCGAGGAAGCTGAACCGGTTCGGTCGCAGGTATGTAAAGTCCCAGTCCTCCCAGCGCGGCCGGGCCATCAACTCCAGGTACGAGAGCGACGATCCGGGCCACGGACCCCAGACTTTGCCCTCGGCCTTGCCGTTCTTGTACCACGAGACGCAGTGGTCGGTCCAGACGAGGTCCTCCATGAGCGCGTCCTTGAACTCCTGGAAGTCGTCGACGGCCTGCGGCTTGGGCACGACGGCCTTGATGGAGTCGTACCGCAGTTTCTGCACCGCCGTGAAGGCGTACTTGATGTTTGTCTCGAGACAGGGGAGGAGGCAGCCGTTAGCCAGGGGGAAATTGGGCCCGCTGATGACTGAAGTCTTGTAAGAGAGAGAGAAATGACAGTGGAAAGCCTACCAGACGACACAGGTGGAAGACTTACTAAAATAATTGGGCATATTCAAAGCCGCGATGGAGCAGTATGACCGCGGTTCCTCTGCCCATTCATCCCTGAGATCACGACCCTCTCGGCCGACCAGAGGGAACGGTGGTCGGAAACTTGTGTCGAAACCCGTCGCACAGATCAGGACGTCCAGCTTTATGGTGTCGCCCTTGTTCATGCGGACTCCATCTTCTGTGATTGCGACAATTCCGTCACTCCGCACAGTAACATTGTCTTCTGTCAGTGCTTCAAGGTATCCGTGGCCTGGAGTGACTCTTCGACAGCCAACGCCAAAGGTGGGGACTGATAATAACAGAAAGAAAACAAACAGTCAATGTTTGTCTTCGGAAAAAGGAGTGAAAGAAATCCTTACTCATGAGTTCGGCGAGTTCGGGCTTTCTCGATAACCGCTCTCGCATAGTCTTGCGAAAGTTTTCGTATGCGTCCTTCTGCAGCGTCGAGTCCTTGAACTGCATGTCGAAGAATTTGTTCATGGTCGACTCGACCTTCTTTCGATACTCGAGGAACTTGTCCTTGTCCTGCGCCCACTCGTCCTTTTGCCGTTCTGAGAAGAAGGCCGTCCGTCCCTCGGGGGCGAACTCGGCGGCAAATTCGGGTGTGATCCACGTCGAGGAGCGAATGAAGGATGTCAAGTGTTTGACCTCTTTATTTTTTTTTTTTTTTTGAGTTGGTCTGTGTTCCTCGATTTCAAGACAAAAAGACTGTGGACTTACTCGGTTGTATTTGCGGGATGATCTGGATGGCAGACGACCCCGTACCGATGATGCCAACGACCTTGTCGTCGAGGGAATATGCCTCGTCCCATTGTGCGGAATGGATCAACTTCCCTCGGAAACTCTCCAGACCGGGGATATCGGGCATCTTCCACTTGCTGGAGAACGAAGTTCAGACGAGTGTCTTTGTGAGAACGTTTGGAGAATTGGACAGGAGACCGTACTTTAGAAATCCAGCGGCGTTGATCAGAACCTCAGCTTCGTCCGAGAAGGTGGTCCCCGACATCACGTCCTCGATCTGCACTTTCCACTTGCCCTCGCTCTCGTCCCAGACGGCCTCCTTGACCCGACTGTTGAGTTTGACGAACTTGTCCACCCCGTACGCCACGGCGCGACCTTTGAAGTACTCATAGAGCTCCGGCGAGCCGACATAGGCGCGCGACCACCGCGGATTCCCTTCCCAGCTGAAGGTGTAGGCGTGTGCCGGCACATCGCAAGCGCAACTGTGTGTATCTCTCAAGCTCAGAAAATGAATGATACCAAGAAATCTACCTTCTCATAATCTTCCAGGGCTGCAATGGTAGGCATCACCGAGTTGATCGCTTTCTCTTGCGAGGTTACTTACCCCGGATAACGGTTCTCCAACCACGTCCCCGTCACGTCCGAGTTCTTCTCGTAGATGACCAGCTCCACCGACCCGTCAGTGAATGTGTCTTTGAAGATTTTAACCGCAGCGATGCCACTGAGGCCGGCGCCGACGACGATGATCTTCATCGGCCGCCCCTGACCCAGATACTGGTCCGCGCACTTGAACTTGGCGGAGCCGTTGAGTTTGGTAGTTCCATTGCTGGGATGCACGGGGAGACTTGATTGTGGACCGACGGCAGTGGGAACTGCGGCCGCGCTGGACTCTCCCATGATTGTTTGGTCGCTGGATTCTCCCGATCCTAACGAAGAAAAGAAAGCCACGAAAGGAGATATTGAACAACAACCTTTAAAAGCACTGGTCGACAATATGGCCAGGCTCTCTCTCTCTCTCTCTCTCTCCACGTACTATCTATACATACTTGTACATAGATCACACACAAAGGAGAGCCGAGGCCCAAGACGCCAATACTTCCAGATCGATCGGGTGATGGACGAGACTAGACTAACAACAAGTTTTCCCACAATTTACCACGCACGGTCGAGCGGGTTGACGGTGTTGATTTTCCGGGCATCACACATTTCCCCCCGGAGATGCCACTCTACCCCCTCGTACTTGTACTGAATCCCCGTGGGCCTCATCATGAGACAATGGCGACCTGGGCCGTGATATGGGACAGAAATAAAAAAAACAAAGGGAAGAAAACACTCCTCCCAAACAACTTATCTTGTGTGTCTACAAGTGGACAATCAATCAATCACACGGTCTACTTGATATAGGTGGGTATTTGCGCTAACTGAGGTATGAGTTCCCCCTCCCGCCCTTCCCCTTTCCATTTACTCCTCCGGAGAAATATCAAATCATCCATGGCATCACTTCACATCACTTCGCATCATTTCACATGACCAGAAACCAGTCATTGCAGCTTCGGCCACTTCACCCGCCGCCCGGCAAAGTCGTCGTGCTGCCAGCTCTGCCCAAGCGAGGTGATGACATCGAGGGCACGCGACGCACTCTTGTACGTCTGGCCCATCTCCCCCAGGCTCTGGATGCATGTGACGAACGACTGCTGGGCCTTTTGGTTCTCGGCGCTCCCCGTGCTGGTAATGCACATTTGAAACACGTGGATGAGCCCCGCCGTCATGGTGACGTGAACCATTTGGTGGTGCGGCCGGCGGAGGCCGTACCGCTGGCGGAACATGGTCAGCAGCTGGCAGACGCGCTGCGCCGCCTGGACACACTTGGAGAAGGATTGGGCGGCGTTTCGGTGCGTGGGCGAGATGGACAGTCGCGACGATTCGTCGACGGCGATGAGTGGCCGGTGCAAGAGGATGACGCATTCGTTGAAGATGAGGCTGGTGTGATTGTTAGAGCAGTGAGTTATCAAAAACGTTTGGAAAAAAAAAAATGGAGCTTACTGTAGTTCGAGGACGGCGGGGAGATAGATGGCTGTCCGCGATTTGGAGGACGAGTAGTCGACGCGGAGGGCCGGGGGCAGGGAACTGAGCCAATCCTGAAGGTCGGCATCAGACTTGACGACGAACTTCTCAATGTCTTCCTGCACGTCAGGGACGCCAGAGTATCTGCGTCACAACATGCATTAGCAAGATGTGTGCCTTATTTGTCCAACCCGGGTGGTTGGTGGGATTCGTTGTGAACGTACAGCACTTCCGACACTCGGGCAAAGACGGCCATCAGCTTGGCCAGGTACGCGTGGACGTGCGCCGCGGCGTGGAAGTCAAAGTCCTTTGGGAAATTCATGGTGCTGTACTCGTCGGTGTAATACTCCCAGGCGTAATTGGCCGACGGCATCGGGCCTGGTATGTTGTGGGCGAGACGCTTCATCAGCGAGGGCCGTCCGCTATAGGCACCCCACAGCCTGGGTATCTCGTATAAGCTTTTCTGTTCAACGAGTTGTAGGAGAGAGAGAGAGTCTTACGTGTCTATCGTGTTGGCAGACCAGAACAGGTTCTGCCGCAGCAACGCGACCTCGGCGGCGCTACTGTTTGTGTTGTGGAACTTTGAAAAGTCCTGCGCCAGATTCAGATGTAGACCGAGATCCGACAGGATCTGCACTGCCATTCCTGTAATATTTGTGTCAGTAAGATTGCCCCCGATGACTTTCTCAGAAGAAAGTGAGCCGACTGACCGGAATAGATCCAGCCGCGGGAGTCGCGCGCATGAGCAGCCTCGTGCGACGAGAGCACCAGCAGTGCTTGGGCGGTGGCAATGGTTGGACTATCGATTTCAATGTCCAAGAGAGCCTTTGTTCGAAAGCCGAAGAACTCGTCCGTGGGACCGTCCACATCGGGATGGACACGATCGGTGTATGCGGCGCCAATGGTGTATCTGCAATGACCGATCAGTTTTCATTCCATTTTCTAGACGCGAGGTCGATCTCAGGGTCAGAGGAAGGAGTGTGACTCTTACATGGCATTTTCCAGGGCGGGAGAGTACAGGTTCGTATAGTGTCCCGAGCGAAATTGCTGTCGCTCCTTGAAGAAGATGGGTTTATCCACAACGTACATCAGGGCATTGTGCCATGAAAAGAACAGGTTCACCAGAGTTTCTTCGTACTCGGCGTCTCCCTTCCACTGCAGGCCGGCTCGGGCGATGGCTGCCTCGCCGTGCGTCACCACCGTTCGGAGGTTGGGTCGACACAAGGACGACGGTCCACGATGTAGAAGATGCAGGTTGCTGGTGGCTCCGTAGTAGCGAGGCTGGCCGTCTTCAGCAATCTGTAAGCGTCCCAGGCGGCTTGTGAGATTCTTCGTGATACTGTCTACGTGTTCTTCGTCCTGATCGTCAAAGTCATGCGATCTCACTTTGCCTCTGGCGCTCATCACAGACGAGTCGCTTCCTGCAGCGGAGATCAGTAGTTCTGGGCTTCCCCCTGCAAACATTTCCCCCGGTGAGATTGTATCTGGAACGGGATCTCCTGGCAGAGTCAGGGGCACGTCTGGCTCGGTGTGCGTGAGTCCTAGTGAGGGGACGAGATCGAATAACGGATGGCATTCGTTGGAGAAGCAAGCTGCGCTGGAAAGGTCATTTCCATCGTCCAGGCCGATCCAAGATCCCCAATCTTGCTCTGAATCAGGTGACGGTATAGGCTCAACACTGATGGAATTCGTTACACCAGAGGTTGAGAAGTAATTGTCTGATCCTGGTTGTAGATTATCGAGAATGTCTTGATCGGCTGCTAAAGAATGGGTATAATGACGGTCCGCAGTCTCGGAGAGCCGCTGTGGCTGGACATTATTGCTTGGTAAATAAGAGGGAGTCCCGTTGCGGAGATCTTCTTGGGAAGCCTTTGATGCTGCAATGACACTCTCCAGGCGCGAGGTCATGGACATGCTACAGCAGATCAGCCTCTCAAAAGTTCTTACGCCGTCTTTGCTTTGCCAGCTTCTTTTTGGCAGACAGTGAGTGCAAGTAAACTCACCGACGACGATCCTCGACAAAGACGCATTCGACATCGTACAGAGTGCAATTAGAGCATCGTGGCTTATCGTCGTTACACTGTCGAGTGAGAAAAATCAGCTCCAACTCATAAATACCTGGAGAGATAGAGCTGGAGCATGTGTGATCCAGACCTTCACCTTCCGCTTTCTACACGCCAGACATGCTCTGGAGATATACTTCCTCTCCGTAGGCTGCTTTCTGCTCTTCTGTTGCGACATCGAGGGGTGGCTTCAGCAACGGCTTTGGGATGAGAAATGTAAGAAGATCGTGCCCTGGAGGAAATGCGGAGTTTTTTTGGGGATTTCGGGGTCTTGGGGGGGAGGAAATTGTTGCATTATTAAGTGACCCTGGGGGTGGATGGGTGGATGCTTGCACAGGCAGGCTTGGGCGAGCCAGTGGCAGTTTCCGGGGCTGGAAGGTTCTAAACTAGCGAACAACCCTGCATGGAAGAAAACGAGGACAAGAACGCGGGTGAAGAAGCGGGACAGTGAAAAGGTGGGGTGGGGGAGGCGGATTCCCATGTGGTTGGAATGCTTGTACCGAGTATAGCAGGTCTTTGTACCGAGTTATAGCATTGTATATCGAGTACCTAAAGTAGCACGTGGATTTTGGTCTACCTGGAAGCCTACTCCATCACACAGTGCTCCTCTCCACGCTGCCGGATATCGTGAAAGTCACCGTCATTAACCACCAACGAACCGTTCCTATAGCTACTTTCATCACTCAACAAAAACTTCGCCACATTTGCTTGGCCCCCCGGGAAAAAAAGGAATACGGCGCAGAGAAATCTTGTGGTGTACAGGCGCGTTCTCATTCTCTTGAGTCCCTATCTTTCCCTCTTCGTCCTTACTGTACTCAATCATAGCCGCCATTCTCAGTCCGGACAGACTGCGTTCTCTTAAATACCACTGAGGCCATAGAACTTGGCACCGTTCTCCATGACCGTCGCCGCACCACATTTACTCGGTGTATACGCTGCCAGTCCTACGGTATAGAGACCCGAGACCGAGACGATGTTATCGATTGCACCGCTCTGGCCGGGGTTTGGGTTCGGGATGGAGTCACATCTCTGGGCGTCTTTTCAGTAACAAATAAGCCAAATGTGTGGTGGGTTCTCATCATCGATCATACCTGACAAACAACTCGGTCGTGATGATGCTATCTTCCTCGTCCCATATCGACGCATATATACCTGCAGAGATAGCCGCATGATCTAGTCTCCCTGTGAGCTCGAGCACCACGGCCACAAGATACTTAACTTCTGACTCTTGGGTCATGTACGGACACGGTACTTCTGGGCTATCTCATGGGCAGCCGCTGGACCTTTGACCTAGTGGCGATCCGCAAGCACGATGGATATGCCCCGACTGGCAAGTTTGTGTGCCAGAACTGGCGCCTGTCACGAGTGCTACCTGCTCCAGCATACTTGTCAGTGTGTTGAAGGTCCCCGGGTTCGAAGGAAGGCGCCAAAGTAATCTCTACTCGGAGGCTGGATCGACCAGCGAGCATTGTCTCTCTTTCGGGTCTGAAACTAGTTTGACGAACCTCGTACTCCATAAGACGTTTTGGGATTGTGAAGGTGGGAAGAAAAATAAGAAAGATTCCAGATTGTTTTCTTACATGTGGAAGGGGGGGGGGGGCGCGGAACTCCTTCTCCTGATGCCGTGGCATTTCACAGTGGATCTCTGGCCAAGTCGCTGACGACATTCGGAAATCACGCCATGTGCTTGTGCTTGTATTATTAGTGGGACGGACTAGACAGATTGAGGCCGACCACTCCAATCAACGTTCGAAGCGGGCACGATTGAAAGGCTGACAACTCACGAGGCCTTTCATTCTAGATTCCATGACTTGTAAGTGCTAGATTCGCGAAGACTACTTGCTCGCTCCAGCATCATACGCGACAGCCATCATGCAACAAAAGTCGGCTCCCCGAGCCCCTATCATTCCCCCCCAACTCCTAACTCTCCTTGAAGTCCCTCTTCACGCTGGCGTCTCAGTCACGCAGCTTGCTAACTTTGGGAGCCTCTTTCGTCTCTTCGACTTCGGCATCATGCGCAATGACAAGATTTTCCAAAGTCTCGGCCGCGATTTCGTCCCCGAACAGCCCGGCGATCTCTTCTAGCGGTTTGCCTTTGGTTTCCTTGGCCAACCAGAGAAACACGGCCAGCGAAGAGACGCCCACGGCGATGAAGACGAGATAGAATTTCCATCCGATCGACACAAAGGCATAGAGGGACGCTCTGTCCAAAAAGAAAACAAAGGTCAGCTCAACTCTCTCATTGTCCCACGAGGGTTCCACAGAGACTTACTCGACGTAGATGGTGTCGATGAAGTAGATGCTCGCCACTCCAAGAGCCGAACCCTTGGCCCTGAGATGAGCCGGCCACATCTCGGAAACATAAGTGTAGCTTGCACCTTCGGCAAACATGCAGTATCCCAATTCGAAAATGTAGAACATGGCCACGACGGCCTGCTGGGGTGCTTCATGCGAGGTTCCCGCGTATTTGGCGATCAGGGGAGTGACCACCACAATCAGCGCAATCTGAATTGCCGTTCCAATGGCGAGGAGTGGTACACGACCAACGCGGTCGATGAGCAGGGTTCCGAGGATCGCGGTCAAGGCTCCAAAGGTAACATAACCTGCAGTGATGGACAGCTGACCCACTGTGTTGAATCCAAGGCTGGCGTAGATGGTCGGACCATAGCTGGCGATAACAACGATACCAGCCGACTATTTATCGTCAGTTTAACAACCAACGATGCTGCAGACGACACACCGGGCCAACATACCTGACTCATGGACTGGGTGATGATCGTGAGGATAAAGCGCCTGCGGTACCGTTTCGACATGATCAACTCCCACCAACCCATTGCATTTCGATGTTCAAACGAGATCTGGTCCACCATCTGCTTGACTTCGAGTTCGGCGAACTCGTGGCCCGCGTCGTCATGATGGCCGTGCAGTTTGGAGATGACGGCGCGAGCTTCGTCGGTGCGATCCTGCATCACCAACCATCTGGGCGATTCCGGAATCAGAGGCAGGAGGAAGATGGTCAGGAACGATGGGACGGTGCAGATGGCAAAGGGAATTCGCCACTGGACGCCGCTGGCCTGCACAAAGTAAAAGGCCACACCGAGCCAGTTGGCGAAAACATAGCCGAGAGAGATCATTACCGCGACAAGGCCGACCATGAGGCCTCGATACCGAGGCGGCGCGAGCTCGCTTTGAAGCAGTGATCCGACAGACATGTATGCTCCCGACGCAAATCCAGAGCAGCCCCTTGAATGGCCGACATAAAAGATCAGTTTTCCCACTCGACGCATAGAGCATCCCGTTAAGGAGGGGCCCTCACCTGAAAATGATCAACATGGCAATATGGACGCTTCCAGCTACCAGGGCCGTGCTGACAATTGAGATGATTGCCGAGATGAGCACCGTCTTCTTGCGCCCGATCTTGTCGGACGCGTAGCTAGCCCAGGCACAGCCGAACAGAGCGCACGCGAAAAAGACGCCGAGAATCGCCCCGATCAACGGCGTGTTGGATTTTGTCTGCTCCAGGAACCCAAAGTAGACGAGAAAGCTCGGCTGGCCCAACGTCGTGTTGATCATGCCGTTGACCATGCCCGTGGCCAGCGAGGTGCACGAGACGCAGACGACGATGCCATAGTTGTAGAAACTGAATCTCTCCCTGGCTTTGCTATGATGCATGAGATGCTCGTCATGATGCGGTGACAATTCTTCCTTGGGAACCGTCATTTTGGGGGGAAATTGTTCAGACGATGATGTCCTCAACACGGACATGTGTTGGTTTGCGGGGATGATGAAGATTATGAGGAAGGAGAGGAATGGGAGGTCGGGATGAAAATCGAGGCCTCCTGGAGTGATATTTCTTGGGACCAAACTTCCAATCTGTGATACTAGTGCAATGCTCCCCTGACTCCACAGCACATAATACCACAGAAGTCCGGGGCCACGCGGGGAAGCCACGTGTGCGGCCCAACAGTCTGGCAGATTTATCATGGTACCAGAGTCCGCGAAAGTGTCGAGTCGGAGTTTCGAAGTGGTTGACCCAGGCACTCCCGAGTCTCTGGTGGAGATAGACTCCACTTTTATATGTGGATAAACCGGAGTTTTCACGCACTAGCCGTCAAGTTGTGTACCTGGATTAGGAAGTCGGAGTAGCATCCAAAGGTACCGGAACAGTGAGCCTTGTATAGATGACCATAGAGGGCTCTCAAACAGAAAGTTGGCTATATCATTTTCGTTGGGGCATGTGCTGGTGTAAGCAGCGCTAACTTGTCACTGACATAGTACCTTCTACAAAGTATTGTCCAACAGGGCCTATACAACGTGCTCAGCGCAATACAGACACTAGATTGAGGTGTAGCATCGAAACTGGTCTCCGCTGACCCTCGATTGGGTCTCAACACCATGGTCGCGTCTCAAGACAATGACAAGGCAAAACAGGCATCAGTGAATGCAACCAGCCATCTTGCCGAAAAGTATGGCTGGAAGAACACAAACGAGGCAGGCTACACCATCAACGAAGTCCCCTCCGGACTGTTGCGCCCTGTCAAGATAGTATGCCTGGGTGCCGGTGCGTCGGGCATCAACCTGGCCAAGCTCGTCCAAGATCAAATGCAGAATGTCGAGCTGCAAATCTACGACAAGAACTCTGATGTCGGGGGCACTTGGTGGGAGAATCGCTATCCGTACGTTGGATCACAACAGGGGACTATCGCCGTGGGCCCATGGATCGAGACTGACACAACATAGCGGCTGTGCTTGTGACATTCCTTCTGCAAGCTATCAGTTCACCTGGGAGCCACATATCTGGTCTCAGTACTACGCGGAGAGCCCGGAGATTTTTGACTATTTCAAAGGTATAGTCGTCAAGTACGGGCTGTCAAAGTACATCAAGCTGCGGCACCGGGTGGACCACGCCGAGTGGGACGAGGATGAAGGTCACTGGAACATCACCGTCACAGACTTGGAGTCTGGAGACCAGTTCACCGAGTCGTGCGACATCTTCATCAATGCCGGCGGCCCTCTCAAGTGTGTCCCACCAATATTTCCCCCGTTATTCAAAGTTTCCCCACTAACTGACATTATTTAGCTTTTGGGAGTGGCCCAAGATAAATGGCCTCAAAGATTTCAAAGGAGTGCTTGTCCATTCTGCGGCGTACCCGGAAGGGCTCGATCTGAATGGCAAGCGTGTCGCCGTGGTAGGTATCGGATCAAGTGGTGTTCAAATCACCGCCAAAATCCAGAGTCAAGTGGAAAAGCTGTACACGTGGATCAGTACACCTACATGGATGACCCCGTCCTTTGCCTCGAAATACTCGGGTGTGGGTGGAGGCAACTTCAAATGTAAGTCTATCGTCCTTGAATTCATTTTACCATCAAGAACGACTACTAATGACTCATCCAAAGATTCTGAGGAGCAGAAGAGGCGGTTCAGGGAAGAGCCGGGCTACTATCTCAAGTACTGCAAAATGGTGGAGACGCAGCTGCAAGAAGGGTTTCTAGCATTCCACCACAATACTCCTGAAGCGCAAGGTCTGGAAAAGGTAATATAGCTCGACGCCCCATGCTGGGGTAAGTACTCTACGGATCACTGATCGATACTCGGCAGATGGCAAGACAGGAAATGATGGAGAAACTAAAGGGAAGAGACGACCTGATCGAGAAACTCATTCCCAAAGATTTCCCCGTCGGATGCAAACGGCCAACGTGAGTCTCCAGGACATGTGGACACATTTTGGAGTTATTTTTTGACATCTAATCCTCACTGATTTTATCTGCTTCCAGTCCTGGAAACGGGTTCCTCGAAGCTCTCATGTCTCCCAATGTCACGACCTTCACCAAAGCCCTCGACACAATCACCGAGCAAGGATTCCTCGACCCCGACGGGAACGAGCACGAAGTCGACGTGATCATCCTCGCCACGGGCTTCAACACCACATGGGTTCCCCGATTCCCCATCATCGCCAACGGGTACAACCTGCAAGACCAGTACCGCAAGAACCCCATCTCGTACCTCGGGCTCTCCGCGCCCTTCATGCCCAACTACTTTACTTTCTACGGGCCCTACGGCCCGCTGGGCCAGGGCAGCGCACTGTGCATGATTGAAAAGATGGCCGAATATTTCGCGCAGATGATCCGGAAACTGCAGCTCGAGAACATCAAGAGCTACACCCCGAGGCTGAGCGTCGCCCTGGACTACCAAGAGCACACGGACCTGTACCACAACCGAACCGTGTGGTCGGGCAACTGCCGCAGCTGGTTCAAAGGTGGCAAGCTGGGCGGGAAGATCATGCTACACCCAGGAACAAGGACCCAATAGTAAGTGCTTCTCCCTGCCCACCTGTTCTCCCTGATAAAGATATTTCTGCGAGTTCCGTTTGACGCTGGACGGTTTTTTGCTAACATCCCCGTTTCTTCTTGCACTGCTCTTAGCATGGAGCTCATCGCAGCCCCGCGCTACGAAGACTACGAGATCCAGTATCGTAATCGAAACGTGTGGTATTGGCTCGGCAACGGCTTCTCGACACGGGACTTGGACGGCAGAGATCTGACGTGGTATTTGGGCTTGGTCGACGGCAAGGACGAGCAGCAACATTTCGATGTTTGACCGCCGCGATAGAGGAAAGGATATACGCCTCTTTATATAGTGTTTCTATATGGAATCTCACTCCACAAACTATGTTAATGAGCTTGTGTGGTGAAATTATCTTGCAGTTTGATAGTATTTTTCTGCCGCCACGTATCCCACTGTTTTGCAATGTAATAAAAGGGAGTATACAGCACATTTACACCATGTATGTGAAGCATCCTCTAACGCCGATCTAGCAAAGTTTTCTTTCAGTTCTATATTCTGTTTTGCCATGTACGATTTCATGGGTCCTTTCTACACACGAGCCTGGCGGAAGGAGGAGTGAAAATGGAAAGTCAAATACATATTCTCATGGCCATCGTACTTGGAGCACCCTCGATCGAAATGCACAAGATCAGCATGCTCCAACCTGTACGCGGAAGGATCATTTTGAAAGTCAAAGTCTCTAGAAATCATAGGTCTCTCGTTACTACGGACGTTATGGGGAAACAGGAGGGACGAATCCCTCCCCCTGCGGGAGAATGACTACACCTACATACGAACACCTCTACAGAGCCATCCTGCCTCTTCAACCTTGTTCAAAGGTCACACTCTCTCCCCCCTCTCACTTCATTTGCAATCCCTCAGTTCGATACCTCCCCACGCTGCCTCCGATGGACCGTGAGAGGTATCGGCTTCTTCATGTAGCCCATGTAGCTGCGCAGGCCGAGCCAGAAGCCCGCGTGGTCGAAAGCCGGGGACATCTCGAACGAAAAGTCCCGGAGCACGTGGGCGAGGAGCAGCCGCATCTCCAGGTACGCCAGGGCCTTGCCGGGGCAGATGTACTGGCCCGCGCTGAAGGGGATGAAGGAGCGCGTGTCGTGTTTCCAGGTCGGGTCGCGCCTCTCGTCGATCCAGCGCTCGGGCACAAACAGGTGCGGCTTGGTGAAGCTGCGCTCGTCGTGCGCCATGAACGTCGGCTGGCACGACACCTGCGTGTTCTCCGGCAGGTAGTGTCCGTCGACCACGCAGCCGCCCTTGGGCGTCGTGCGCTGGCTGCCATTCGGGGCTGGCGGGACCATGCGGAGAGATTCGTTGATGACGGCGTTGAGATATGGCATCGATTCAGGCCCTGGGCGGGTTTGGGGACACACAGGTTAGTACTAAGCTAAACCAACAGCCAGACCATATACTATGTCGATTGAAAAGACGCGGGTATGTAGAGGAACATGTACCTAGTTTACGGCCGTCGAGGTTCTCTCCATGCTGTTCCCAAGCCTTGTCGACCTCTTCGATCAGTTGTTTCTGGACGTTGGGGTCCCTGGACATGAAGTAGAAGACGAAGCTTTCCCCCGTAGACGTCAGTTTATCTGTCCATGGAGTCTTGAAATAAGTGTGGAAACCACCAACCTTAGACACACGGCGGTCGTGTCACTACCAGCGACGATGATGACGGGTGAGTCGGACTCGAGATCTCGTTTCGCCAGAGCCCTGTCGTCATGGAAGAATCCATCCCGTCAGCCACAAGAGTCTCTCTTACCCCCAGAAATCAGCACAAAAGGGGAGAAACGTCATTCACCTTCCAGATTCATCATGAGCCAACAGATAAGTGAAGAGATCGGTGGGTTTGGTCCCCATGGCCAGCCTCTTCTCAAACTGTTCCGCCGAGGTTTTGGCAAATCGCTCCGTCTGGGCCTTGTCCTCGGGATCCATGGGCAGGTACTTGAAGATGGGCGTCAGCCACTGGACGTTGCGGATGAGCTCCGTCATCTTGAGACCCTTCCGGACCAGGTCGGCCAGCTCTCCGGAGTTCTCGTTCTCGATAAACGAGAAGGTCTCGTTGAAGGCCAGGTCCGCCATGGCGTCGAACCCGAAGAAGTCGATGAACGCACCCACGTCGATTTCCTTTTCTGGTCACATCCCATTCTCGGTCAGTTCGACGCCTCGCCCTGTCCGCTCGGGAAGATCGGATCATGGGAAACTTACCGGCATAGGTGTCGAACTTGCTCCTCAAGACGTTGATGATTCTCACGAGCCGGGGTTCGTATGAAGTGATGGCCTTGATCGCGAGGCCCTTGTCCCAGAACTTACGGCGAGCTCTGTGTGCCGCAATGTCTCTCTCGTCTCCGAGACTGACGCCGTCGGCCCACAGTCGGGTATCGTAATTCGGCCCTTTGCCCAGCTTATTCGCTGCCGCTCCGTGGACGTATTTCAACGACTCTGGGTTCGCAAAGGAGAGCTCGTTGGGGCCGATGCGGACAATGTCGCCGTACTTTTGGTGGAGTTCGACATAGTCGATGTACGTCTTTCCAAAGCTGGTCAGGTAGAAGCCGTACCACTTGGTGATCTTTGCCAGTACCGGTCCCGGATACTCCTTGAGTGGATGGAGAAATAGTCGGTACACTGTAATGCTTGACCTGTTGTTGGGCGATCACCGTCGGTCAAAATACTTCCCGTCGTGCTATGGAACGATAACCACCACTTACGCTAAAGCAAAGAGGTGCACCCCAAGGAAGACAGGCCAGAGGCCTAGACTCGTGCTGAGTGCCCTGGATTGATGGAACAAGGCAACGAAGGCCAGCAAGGACAATGTCGCCAACTCTGCGAGATACTGGCTAAATAGAGGACATCAGCTGGCCAGATACGCCGTCTTTGTATACCTTGGGAACTTACAAGAGCGTCGGTTCTCGTCGATTGTACTTCAGATGAGCGGCCTACCAGCCGGGTCAGCCTGTCGACACTCTACGAGAGGAGAAAGGGTAGCAAATACCAGACCGCTGAACACGGCCCAAACGCAGGTTGGTACCAGAAGGCCCATCGTTGAGGGGGGAAAAGAACGAAAACCCTGCTGTTTCAACCCCTATGTCCCTCTGAGAATAGAGTGGGCTGTGACAGGGACACTCTTTTCAGCACGACGACCCTTATGAGGGATGGTGTGGGTGGTGGTCAAAAGGGGAAAGGAAAAACGAAGTGGGCCGGAAGGGGACAAACTCCGAATGCGGTCTATAGAAGCCCAAATCGGAGACTGGCCACCTCAGGGTGTCCCCGTATTCCGGGAGATTCATAAATCCCTGTCATGGAGAAAATTGGACATGGTGGCAGGTGTGGAAACTCCGCATTCGTGTCACGCAACACATGCAACGACCGAGACATCAGAGAAACAGTCTGCGAGACACTGAGAGCCCGTCGACTGGTGTATGGGGGTATCGGTATGGTTAATGGTTAAGTCCTGTATGCGTGTGAACGCGGCTCTCTGCATATCTTTTGGCCCAGGGTATTGTCTTCCTAGACCTCGCCGTTGCCCCCTAACAAGCAGCCCTCCCTTCCAGCTCCTCTACAAGATGAAGCCACTCCCCGATTTTGATTCCCTGCCACCAGTCGAAGGCAGACCCCAAGGAAATACGTGGGGTTTTTGGGGTGCAGACGATGAGATTGGAAGTGAGTGTTACACAGAGCGATCTTTCTGTTCGGCAGGGGTCGATATGATCTGGATTTCTCTACCAGCTCTGATATCTCCTGAACGCTTCTGACTGGCGGCGAATAGCCTTGAATCTCCTTACCCCAGACGTGGTTCAACGTGCCGCCGCAGAGGTCAAGAGCGGAAAGTCGGCGTCCCTAGACTTTCCCCTTGACCACTTCAACGAGCGCATTGGCTCCCGCCGTCAGCTCGAGCAGAGGGTGGTAAACTATCACGAACTGGCGGGCATGTACGTCTACGACGACGAGCTCCATTTCAACACGCAGAGTAGCTCTCAGTGGGACGGCATGACACACTGTGCGACCCAGAAAGACGGGTTCTTCTACAACGGCCTCAAATTTGAAGACGTGTTGAGCAAGAAAGACGGTAGAAATGGGACCCATAGTCCGTATATCCACTATTCCACCCAAATTGCCCAAAGAGAGGCCGCTGACCAGTTCCCAGGGTGGCTACAGAGAGGCGGGATAGTTGGTCGCGGCATCCTTTTGGACTATCCGCTTTGGCGACAAGAGACTGGCCAAAGCCTGGCCAATGCAGGTTCCAGCCATGCCATCACAGTGGCCGAGTTGGATCAGGTGGCCAAACACTTTGGCGTGGAAATCCGACAGGGAGACATTCTCTTGCTTCGCACAGGATACAGTAAATGGTACAAATCGTGCCCGGCCGAGGAGAGGACTCGAGTCATCAAGGGGGAAGCATTCATTGGGGTAGAAGAGTCGATGGCATCAGCGCGGTGGCTTTGGAACAAGCATCTCGCGGCTGTCGCCACAGACGCCCCTGGCTTCGAAGTCTGCCCGGTCCCGTGGGGTGACGAATCCAAGGTTGTACTGCATGAGTGGATATTGGTTCATTTTGGCATGCCCCTTGGTGAGCTTTGGAACTTGGAGGACTTGTCGGTGCTCTGCCAGCAAGAGCGGCGATGGTCATTCTTTTTCACGAGTGCGCCTCTAAACGTAATCGGAGGAGTAGCCAGTCCACCGAATGCCATAGCCGTGCTGTAAGCGTAGTTCGATCGAACAACAAACCTAGACACAAAGTTTTCCCTCCAAGATTCCATTCAGCCTATACAGCTGATGCCTCCGCGAGCCAGAAGTGAAGGTAGGTGTCAGAACTGGAGTGCTCGTGCCCACTCGGCGTTTGCGTGGCATGTGGCATTTCCGGAGGGGAGCACCTTGTTATATGTGGATCTTTTGACATTGACTAATCGTCTATTGCTGTTTGAACTTGCCGCCACAATCGTGTCAGACTTATTCCTGTCATAAGTCAACAGTCTGCGCCCACTGGTATCGAAACAGCACTTTCGCATTCCCTCAGCAATGGAGCGCAACTCTCTTGCAGGAAAGGTTATCGCCGTGACCGGAGGTGCTTCAGGCATCGGACTCGGCATCGTACAGAAGTTGATCACCCTGAAAGCAAAGGTCGCCGTCGCAGACGTCAGCCCCCAGCCGGCCGAGTTGAAGGACTTACCGAGTCTGATATACACCAACGTCGACGTCTCATCTAGAGAGCAGGTTCACGCATGGGTCGAGGAGATTGTGGAGAAATTTGGCCGACTCGATGGAATGTGTGCAAATGCTGGAATCTGCCCCTATGAAGGAGGCATTGTCAGCGACGAGCTCTACCACAAAATCTTTGCCGTCTGCGTTACGGGCGTCTGGAACTGCGGGACTGAGGCGTACTGGCAGTTCAAGAAGCAAGGAGGTGGTGGTGCCATTGTCAACACATCCAGTGGCGCTGGTCTTCGGGCTGTCAAGGGTTTGGCTGTGTACAGTGCGGCAAAGCACGCTGTGATCGGGTTGACTCGGGCTTGGGCGCTCGATTGGGCCTTGGAAGGCATCCGTGTGAACTCGCTGGCACCAGGTAAGACTCCTGTCGCCAGACTCCAAGGAATAGAGAGGCTACTGACGCACAAACTCTAGGCCTCACGGAATCCGGCATGCAACGAGCAACGTTTGCGCGATTCCCAGATGTTGCCGAGCGACTCGGCTCGGGCACACCAATGGGTAGAATGGGCAAACCTCACGAACTAGCCGACAGTGTTATTTTCCTTCTCGGAGACAGTGCCTCGTATGTAACTGGGCACGTGCTGAGCTGTGATGGAGGAAGCATGAGCGGAGCGTAATTGTCTGCAAACAGAATCGAGGTTGTCGCTGTCTTGTTAGTCATGAGAGAAAATGATCGAAGTCCACTGTTCAACTTCATCGAATCGAATGTCGTGACCCATCACGCCTATTTCTCTTCTCTACAACGAAACATGCAGGTTCAGAAGTACCTCCCCTTGTTAGAGGGTTTGTTAGTAGAGGACTTCGTTGGAAGGTTAGGCGGCAGTGCTATCAGCCTGCGCCTTAACAGTACTGAGATAGGTAGGTCTGGCGAGGGTGTCACATGCGCCCTCCTTCCAGCCATCTCGGAACACGGTCTCGGGGGAACGACTTGGAGAGGACCTCTCGTCCCTCATGTCTCGCGTCTCGTAAATTCCATCAATCAACACCTTGACCGAAAGATTTGACTGACAGTCCCACATTGCCTACCCTCAAGATGAGGGTTGATGCGATGAATTCTTCTCGAGACCATCACCCTGATGTCAGAAGCAGCGGATATCCTCTCTCGAAAACACCCTGCCGAGGGACGTTATCACTCGGGCCGCCCTATGTTTTACGAGTAGTTAGCCGCTGATCCAAACCTAGTTGATCGGAGCTTTCGTTAAACTTCCAAACATTTTCGAGGTGAAACTCTCCCCAGCGCCTTCTCTTGCCAAACATGGCCGCCCCCAGCCAGACGACAAGGCCCGCCAGACCGTCTAGAGTATCGCTCGACGCTGTGCTGGCCTGTCACGGCACAATACGGAGCCATCCGACTCCGAGCATCTCATCTACTGGTCATTACATGCTTTGGCCCTGTCAGGAACCACAAGAAACCTCGCCTATGTCTGGTGGGTGCCCCTTTGTGGGATGGACTATCGAGACGAATCCGGGGTTGATCTCGTGGGAGTCCGGAGACATTCAGGCGGGGATAGGAAATATGGTCACCAGGCTATCATGAAAGAACTCGCGCCTGCCGAGGATAGGGATGGTAGAGGACTCGACTTCCCGTGGTTATCGGATCTCAGGGCGCGATTCATAAGTCGTCGGATCGCAGCCAAGGACATGGTTTGTGGTCGAAGCAGGCAGAGAAAGCAAGCGCTCACCACGTTCAAAGATACCGACAAACACCATGGCGGTAGCTGTTGAATCCAGCACTATTGTGCCCCCAACTGGAATACCAGACACTGGGCCTGTGAACCCTCCGGCCCAGCGCGAGTCACTTGCTACCCGTGTCGCCCAAATCTTGCAGAGAGGCGGCGATGCACCCGCACTTGCGGAGCGAGATCGCGAGGTCGTTGGTGATCCAGAGACGGGCGAAACTTCTCTGAAGCTGTTCCCGTCCTTTCGAACGTTGAGCTTCAAAGACGTCTGGCAGCAGGTCCGTGATGTCGCCTACGACCTTTACTACGATGCGGACGCCCCGCTCCGTCCCCGTGTTCCTATAGCATTCCTTGGATTCTGTGGCATTGACTACTCGGTCCTGGAATTCGCTGGCCATCTACTCGGGGCAGTGATTGCACCGCTTCAGATTGATGCTCCACTGTCGACGCTCGATCCGCTCATAGCAGAGCTCGAGCCATTAATCATAACCGTCAGTATCGAGCAGGTGGACAAGGCTGCGGAGCTGGCCGCGAATAACAAGATGGTTAAACGTATCATTGTCTTCAGCTATAATGCTGATTTGTCTCTTGAACGATCCATTTTCGATGCTGCTCAAGCCAAGCTGACGGCAAGAGGCGTGTCGGCCAAGTTGGATTCCCTTGACGATATCCGCCAGCGCAGCAAGGACTCTCCAGTTCCTCCACTCGATATGCCTGAAAAGGGGACAGATCCGCTGCACCTCCTTGTCTACACATCTGGAAGCACCGGCACACCAAAAGGTGCCATGATAACACAGCGTATCATGCTTCGGATGTGGAGTCTAGACTGGTCTCAGCACAACGGGGGGGAAGTCACCCTTTGCTATTACCCTATGAACCACATTCTTGGCCAGTCGTCTGTCGCGGGCTCTCTCGTGTCTGGAGGTATTTGTTGCTTCACCGCCAAAAGCGACATGAGCACGATCCTGGAAGATCTTGCCCTCGTACGACCCACCAAGTTTATCATTGTTCCTCGTGTGGGGGAGATGATTTACCAGTGGTATCTAGACGAGTACAGCCAAAGGTTGAAGAATGGCGCCGATCCCAAGACCCTGGAGTCGGACCTCAAAATCGAACTCCGAGACAAAGTCATGGGAGGACGCATCAAAAGCGCCTTGGTCGCGGGGGCCAAGTTGAAGGAAAACATTACAGCGTTCATGGCGGAAGTTCTGGGCACCTTCATCGAATTTGGATACGGCGGGACAGAGATGGGGGTCGTGTGCGCCAGGACAAAAGTCCAACGGCCTCCAGTGATTGACTGGAAGCTGGAGGATGTACCAGAGATGGGCTATTATACCAGCGACAAGCCATACCCCCGTGGCCAGTTCCTGCTCAAATCTGAAAGTGTGGTAGCCGGATACTTCAAGCGCCCAGATCTCAATAGCAAGGTCTTCACCGAAGATGGCTACTACATCAGTGGTGACATCCTGGCCCAGGTTGGACCCGACGAGCTGATCTTCCTTGATCGCACAAACAATGTCCTCAAGCTTTCTCAGGGCGAGTTCGTGGCGACCCAACGATTGGAATACATCTTTGCCGACAAGATTCCCGAGATCCGACAAATCTACATCTACGGTGAGAGTGATCAAGCCTACCTCGTCGGCGTCATTGTGCCTTCCAAGGAAGCACTGGAAGAATTCGGCAGCAATATGGATGAGCTCAAAGTGATCCTCCACCAAAAGATCAAGGATGTAGCCAAGGAGGAAGGCCTCCTCCCATACGAGATCCCTCGTGACTTCGTTATCGAAACCACGGCCTTCAGCTACAACAATGGCCTGTTGTCGAATCTTCTCAAGAACCTCTACCCGAAACTCAAGATCAAGTATAGGGATCAAATGCGAGCCCTTTACAGCAGCTTGGCTGCAAAGCAGCATGAAGAACTGCAGCTGCTACAAATTTCTGCGGACAATCTCCCGACCCTGGAGATTGTTTGCAAGGCGGCACAATTGGTGCTAGGAGACACATCGACAGACGTGGATCCGGACTCGTTATTCTCCGAAAATGGTGGCGATTCTATCTCATCGCATACCTTTTCCAAGAGGCTGCAGTCGCTCTTCAACATCGACATCCCGCTGAGCGTCATCGCCAATCCTGCAAACAGCTTTAGAAACATCGCCAACTTCGTCGACCAAGCAAAGGCCCAAGCCAAGGACAAATCCCTGTTTGAGGTGCTTCATGGCAAGAATCCCACAGTGGCCCAGGCAACGGACTTTACCCTCAACAAGTTCATTGACGCCGAGGTTCTCGCAAAAGCTGCACAGACTCCATTTGTGACTGGACCCATCAAAACAGTCTTGCTGACCGGATCTACTGGGTTCTTGGGCCGGTTCAACTGTCTCAAATGGCTTGAACATCTTGCGCCCATCGGAGGCAAGGTGATCTGCATTGTGAGAGGGAAAAACAACGCCGATGCCCGACAGCGGCTTGAGTCTGCAATCGATACCGGCGATAAAGCCTTGCTGGAACATTTTAATCAACTCGCTCGCGATCACCTTGAAGTACTCGCAGGAGATCTCGGGCAGATCCATCTTGGACTGGACTCCAAGACCTGGCAGCGCTTGGCCGACTCGGTTGACCTGACCTTCCACTCGGGCGCCCTGGTCAACCATGTGCTCCCATACAGTGAGCTATTCCACCCCAACGTGATTGGCACGGCAAACCTGATTCAGCTGGCCATCACCACTCGTCGCAAGCGCTTCGTCTATGTGTCGACTCTGGCAGTGGTCGGCCGTGAGGACCAACTTGACGAGAATGCCGATGTGCGAGTTGCCATTCCAA